ATCTTGCTTTAGCACACGTTAGCCTTGAAACAATAAGTTACCCCCTTGGACAACCCGTTGTCCCTACATTCAACAACCATTTGATACTCCGTCTAGAGTGTTACAAACTGCTGAATTACGGAATAACAATTGCCTGTTTTGGTTTGTTGTTAATCGTCCCCTTCACTGTGCCCCAAAATTGCCGGTGCTGAAGGGTACCGGACTAAAAGAGTTTATATATAGTCTGTCGCAGGGGCTGCACAAGTCCGTAAGCGCCTATAAGAGTTCGACTTGCGGAGGGTTTGTTGCGCGGCGTGCAACCACTCAAACCGTGATGAAAAATGTCCGACTCCTCGGTAGACATGTCAGGTTAAGCCCCGGGGCTTTTTAGCAGGGGCTGTCCGTCAATCGCCCGCGACATTCGAAAACCACCGTGTATGTGGCAATTGGGCAACGACACAAAACTGTCCGCACAAAATATGTCCGACAACCTGACGGCAACGCTTTGCCTCGACTCCCCACAGGCTGGTCTGCAAGTTCTGTGTTAAGTGCTGGTGAAACACCCACTACTCCTTTCAAAGCAAGGAATCTGCAGACTGCACTAGTGGTTCCCATTGCAAGTCACCGATCCTGTGGCCGGCCCCGCCGACCTTAACTCATCGGGATGAGGCTGCCGCCGCTTGCCATATCCTCGGGGTGCACCCTGTATGTGGATCAAAAACAGAGCTTTTGTGAGGGACCTAGTAACTATTACGGCAATTCGCATCTTGTCACAGATTAACAATTTTGCACTTTAATAACCTAATGTAGGCTCATGCCTGATCTCGTAGGAGCACACAAACCTTGTTAAGCCCTGAGCTGAGTGAACGGCATCGCTCCTCAACATTGCCCATCTGTGTATGTCCTCATATTAGGCTTATAAGTCCCATAGCAACCAAGCTGCTGACATGTGGACAGATTCAAACTAAATCGCAACCTGTGGGTTGGCACCCTACAACTCTCCTGTAAGACAAGGACCCCAATTGCCGCTCTTACTGCCCCGCTGGGCGGTACTAAGCAAACAAACACTAACCGGAAGGACCGGGGTGAGGGACAATTAATGATATGGACACTCCAGCGCCCAAAGCTCCTATCAGGAACTGATCAAAAAACGTCCCGATGTTTGTCTACTGGTTAGGAAATCATTGACAATGTCATAGAGACGACCTGTACCCAGTGAATGCACGTCCCCAAAATTATCCATATACGACAACAACTCTCACTGCTATCTACTGGTCAATGGCCATTACTAACAAAATATGAAACTCTCTGATAACCCATCGTTGACTATGACCTACAATATGGCCGGTTGCAGTGCCCTACTCACTTTAATACTCTGTTCAAATAATTTGCTTAGGCAGCACCTTGACTGACACGTGAGTGGCACCAAACTGTGCACACGCTAATGACAATTGCTCGTATGTAGGGCCTATGTATTGATTCATTTATTTATTTATCTATTTATGTACTTATGTTAATCTTCGAATGTACTAGTTAATCTTCCGCGGCCGTGGATTTCACCCACCCAAAGTGAAGGGGCCGGGGGCTCCCGCGTGCCTGCTTCCATCTGAGACTACTAGCCAGGAACTGGGAAAAGTGAAACGTATTCGTGTCTGGTGGCGCCCTTCCCGCCTCCCTATAGCCTACGCCATTGGCACCATGGCCTTTGCAAATATGGGAGCAATAAAATTGGCAACAATAGTTTTATCATAATGCTTCTGCTATCTCTGAGGCAATCCTCAAAGAACTGCACGCGAAAGCTTTCGGCATCCCTGATAAGGTGTAACTTTTGGTGACGTTATTTCATGTATGTCTCATACATTGGTATGCTGCATTCACGTTGTGTTAACCTACGCCTTTTCTCTATAGGGATTACCCGTAGTTTGTCTGCCCTACGCTTATAACTTACGAACGCTCACATGGCCTCATCAAATCCCCACAATCCTCTTCATATTAACGCCTGCTCTACGTTATTCTGATTGTAGTAAGATTTGCAATCCTTGATTCTAACCTGGAATTTCGACAAGACACTAACGGGGAAATCAGCAAGTACTAAGCAAAGCTGCATGCTAAACGCTCTCCAGCTCCACTAAAAGGAGGGTAGGTCTGAACATGTTGCTTGGGAGTGTGCGCTAATTCTAGGACAATCAGAAACTCACGAACATGCCTAGTCAACTCGGCCCAACACCCATTGTTATCTGAGCTTCAGGTATTACACAGTGGTAAAGGAATCTGCTCACCCGGTATGCATGAGAAGACACTCCACGGACTTGTGGCTCGCCGCCGGTTGTCAAAGTAACGCCGTGGTCCGGTCACGCCCGATTCTGGTGGAACGGTGAGCACGCCGTTTGTCTCGGGTTCCCATGCTCGGCCAGGGAGGGGAAAGCACACTGCACTGCTAAAGGAAGACTCGATGTCGTGATGTCCGAGTCCAGTCCTTGACCCACTCCGGAGTTTGGCCGGTCCGTCCGGCCAACAACTCTCTGTCGGCGTTGCTAGCCCATGCTCGCTCGTCTAGCCCCGACTCAATATCGTTCCAGACCGGATCATCCTCATGTCAAGCTTTCGGAATCGTCGCCTCGGCCAACCGTTTCGATACGTCTGGGACTCCACCTCCTCCCAGTTGGGCGGTCGCCTAGGCGATTAAACGGGGCGATCTGCGTTTGTATCGAACTACTTCAAGTCGGGCAAATTCTCGTTCCATGTTATTGCTGTTGTCATTCCGATAACAGTTAAAGAGTAGCAATGAAATAAGTCGATTTTCTGAACACTAAAATCCTGAAAAACGAGAGCCCCTACAATCATTGACTGTATCAAGCAAAAACCAAACCGAAACTGAGCGGTCTTTGTGCCCGTGCTCTGGCATTGCGCGCGCTCTGGCAACTTGAGCCATGAACTCATCATGACCGCCTGACAACCGATGCAGACCAGACATCCACTAGCTGCCTCCCAGCGCGCGCTCAATTTAGGGGCCATTCAGAATTTTCAATGTTTTAAAATTTCGACTTTTTTTTCCAAATTATTTTGACCCACCCACCCACCCCCCTAATTTCGATTAATAAAAAACTGAACATGTACATGTACATGCACTTGCACGTACATATACTTGAACATGAACATGTATACCCCTGTACATGTGTGTCTAGTTCAGTGACGGCGTGAAGTTGTCGGTCTTCCTCTTTTGCACTGGTGACCTTCAGTTTTCTTGTGTTTTGCCAGCTGATATGCTGTTGGGAATGACAGGTTGCAGTTTTGGAAGCCACAAAGATGACCGTGGCTTTGTCGTTTTCTGGATGAGGTGGATGACATGTGACATACGAGGTTGTGCCTGTCACGTGAGGTAGCTGAGAAAAACATTCGCTCGTACCCCCCCCCCCCGCCCTGTTTGCAGGGCGGGGGGTACGAGCGAAAGAAAAACATCAGGTTTGGGCAGACATCACATCCCAGGCTGCTGTCCTCGTAGTCTTGGAGTCCAGTGGTTGAATAGTCCAGTTTTTATAGCGATTGGTAATCGACGCCCGCGGCGTGTTATAGAGCCGATCTAGTACACCTGGTACCCTGCTGGCTCTGCACGGCCTAACCGCTACAAACGCCCGGTGTCCAAGTCTACTGAAAAACCACCTCCCTCTCATGCCACAGTGGGTCTAGCAGTCCTGAATCCTTCAATTTCAATATGATTTTGCACACCTCCTAGGGAGTTAGGGATATACACGTACATGACGTACATGTGCAGTATATACAGGGGACGAAGTTGGAAAAGAAACGCGCATCGCGATATCGGAATGCTTGCGCGTAGTTCAGGCAAGTCAAAAGATCTATCTTTCTTTGTTTTTTAAATCTTTTTTCCATGGAAAGTGAATTTCGATTTTCAATAATTAAGCTTGACCCACCCACCCACAATTTGGAAAAAAGATCGAAATTTTAAAACAGTGAAAATTCTGAATGGCCCCGTACTTCGCCCCTCTCGACACTCAATGTGTGACCGCGATGTGACCTTTCACAAAGGGGCCTGCGCTCGATTGAGAGCGCAAGCCGTGTTCTTTGAACGGATTGAGCAATTTCAGTAATTGTTTTCATCTAAATGTAGCTTATGAAATTGGCTTTCTGAGTCACTATCATTTTCGGTGCTATTTTTTTTTTAATGAAATATAATTGTGGGTATGGGTTCCGTTGTTTTTTTTTGACTCACCCTGTATGAAGACGACTTTCAAAAGTCGTGATAAGTGAAAGAGAAAAATGGATCTCTTCAATAATTTTATCACCAGAATTAGGCAGCACAGGTTCAGCATCACGAACAATGCTGTATTCATGCCGTTTTACATGAACATTTAAAGCAGTCCCCTACTTCCCATTTCATAATCTCTAGCGAGAGAATCATCAAAGAAACCCATCCACAGAAATACCAGAAACGAATCCGTTTTGACCCCTGGATGACAGCATTGTTCGTCAATTATTTTTCTACAATTTCCTCTTGTAGGTCATTTTATTGTTTATGACAACGCGTTCATGGTGAGTAATTGTAAAACGAAAGGGATGGGACTTTTTTTGTTACGGCAGAGTAATTTCTATATTTAGTCCAAAGATGATATCAGGTCATACGAAACTATTTCATTTGATATGGTTTCCATTACAATGATAAAACTCCGGCTCGTGGCCAGGAAATTCTGGAACATCTAAATCATCAAATGAAACATTCAAACATAAGTTAAAGTAGACTGACGTCGAATTTGGCGTTGGTCTTTCGACCCCCCCCCCCACCCCCGCTAGGGTCCCGTGCCTGTATTCTTATATAAACCCAATTCATATCAGTATTGAGGCTAAGTGTGTTTTTTTTTGTCTATACTTCATAATGTGAAGTTGTTTTTATCACTGTTATGGTTAAAACTAGATCCTTTGTATTTTTTTGTATTCTTAAATTTAAAATAAAACAGGAGACTTTTACAATAACATTGGCGAATTGACCATATCTCGAACCCCGGAAAAAAAGTTTCGAATTTCGGCCTGCATAAAGGAACTTGCCGTGAGAAATATTCCTTCGTCGTCAGTTATTATAAAGGGAGTGCAGCGTTAGATTTCTGACACGAAACACCAGTTTCATTCTTGAAATAAACGATTTGATTGAAAATCAACGTGATTTATGGCTTCGCTATCCCCAATTTGAAAGTCACTGTTATACGGCGCACGCGCATTTCTCATCTCGCAAAGGGAACTCATTATGTAAAATGCGTGACACTGTGGTTAGCCCGCTCCTTTCGCAAACTTTCACTGACAGGATTGGAGCATTTCATCAAAAAGGAGTGCAGCACCAACGACCATGTAAGTGAACCTTTTTTTATTGCGTATTTGTTAAAAACTTTCTAACGATTTTCAATACTAAATCACGCTTACAGAACTTTGATTCTTTGTTTGAGTTTTTTTCTATTTTAAGACCAATATGTGAAATCCACTCAAACGTTGAAATTGTAGCAGGCTGTACAGGGGAAGGTACTACGTGTCAAAAACGCATGGCCTAATTTTGATTCAAAATAACTCTGTTGTTTACCAATGAAATCAAACCATCATTTTAGATCATGTAAACAAGGCATAACAAATGTTATGGAGCAAGTGATATGTAACGCCAAACGAAAAAAAAATACTCACTTTCAGAATGTCGATACAGTACTGGAGACGGTGGCAAGAGGAGCGTGCAAAAAGCTTCCGAAGGAAGCAGGATCACCCATGGTGTCACTGCACACCTCCTTTATCATGAGTTAAGCCAAATGACCGAGGAGGTGTGCAATGACATCATGGGTGATCCTGCATTCCTGGAAGACGCTAAGTCAAATGTGGTAGATTCTGAAAGTAAGTATGATGAAACTCGCTCCCCGAAGTTGTCACGCCTCGTTTACATGATCTGAAATTTTGGTGTAATTCCATTTGTAAACAACAGAGTTATTTAGCAACAAAAGTATGTAGGACATTTCTTTTGACACGTAGTACAAATTCATCCACTTACTTTGTTCCACCTTAGTGCTTTAGACCTATCAATCATAATTGCATAATAAGCTAATTGACTGAATTTCGGAGTTCACCGAGAACGAAGAAAAATGTTAATGTCTCTTCCAAGGACAATCAATAAATGTGCATGTGTAACTTCACTGCTACGTAGAAACAACAAAAAGATGGACGAATAAAATTAATATATGTGTAAGTAACCTGCAATGTTCAATGGTTAGCGGAAAATGTGGTATATAGTCCGCACCTCATAGTTATTTCGCTGCATATCAATCATCGTTGTTTCCCCCTCACCCAACAACAGACCACCCTTATCAAAATTAGTTGCAAATATGTCAACTACCATATGACGGAAAAATCCAGAAAAAAACCTCGTTAAAACATGTGAACTTCCGCATTGTTCATGCGGTGAGGTCTTACTAGTGAATCTTAGTTTGAGTACAGGAAGTCCCCAGATATGTTGAGGCATATGACATGGTTATCAACGGAAATCATAACATAATATATTTCCGGGTTAAGTTTCCGCTATGTGTTTTTCCTATTCACAAATGGCTCGAACACATTTTGCGAGAATTAAAGAGGAATGTTCATCATGCATAAAGGAATGTTCAACTTCAGCCGAATTGGATTATTCCTTTTTTTATCAAAATGCATTTTTTTTGTGTTCCTGTAGTGTACACTAAGTTGTCAAAGCACCATGGATATGATGAAGTTGTTGCTTACGCTTGTTCTGATGATGGATATGTCCTTCCGATTCGCAGACGCGGGTGAGCATGTTTATTTCTCATATAACCTTGTTGTTTGATATTAATCAACCAATTCTGATATTACCGAAGAAGATGAAAGTATTTTGTCCGTTTCAGAGACTTTTCAGATCCGTTCACGTATAAGCTCGGCTCGGTTTGGCGCGGATCAAATCGACTTTGGGTTTGGTCAGGCGTTTTATTTTCATTTTTTTATTCAGGTAAACAAAATGAAAGGTTATGTCGCGGCTTTTATGCGTTGATGGGACTTCTTCCTCGATTAGTTTATTCTTTATTGTTCTCAATACCGAAACACCGATTCCTGCTTGATACGAAAAATACTATATCTGTGAGTCACAGTTGGAAAAAAGATAATAATAAATTCACAAAAACAAAACGTTTACTCAAAATAGTAATTGAACAAATACAGGGTGAGTAAAACAAAGCGGAACCCAAACTCAAAAATTACATTTCATATTTAAATAAATATATAGCAACAAAAATAATAATGACTAGAAAGCCAATTTTATAAGGTACTTTAGATGAAAAATATTACTGAAATTGCTCAATCCGTTCCAAGAATATCACCAATTAAACACAATGACTCTAAAACCTCTTTCGTCAAAAAAAAGTGATTTCAAGAATCGTCGTCACTATTGTCTTCAAACATCACCAGTCATAAAAACCTCAGTTTAAAAGTTAAAAATATTCAACAAAGTCCTTTTGAAAGTCCGTCTTTGTTCGACGCAATGACCCTAAAACCTCTTTCGTCCAAAAAAGCAATTTATTGTGTATTCTGACAAAGAAAATGACACAGAACACTTGTTTCAACAAATGTGAACAACTGTAGCACACAATATCTTTATTAACACCCCTGGTTGGCGAACGATATGATTTATAAAATCCACTTTTTTTTAAAGACGGGCCTTCAAACGGACTTTGTTGAATATTTTTAACTTTTAAACTGAGGTGTTAATCACTGGTGATGTTTGAAGACAATGGTGACGACGATTCTTGAAATCACTGTTTTTAGACGAAAGAGGTTTTAGAGTCATTGTGTTTAATTTGTGATATTCTTTGAACGGGTATGAGCAATTTCAGTATTTTTTCATCTAAAGGTAGTCATGAAATTGGCTGCCCAGTCTTATTATTTTTGGTGCTACATATTTTTTCTAAATATGAAATATCATTTTTGCGGTTTGGGTTCCGCTTTTTTGACTCTCCCTGTACTTAATTGGCTGCATGTTGTGCATCTAAGAGGATACGACTCCTCTTCGATAACGCAGGTGATTTTGCACTCCTTGTTGACATTGCCAATGCCACCATCTACGCGGGTAGCATGAGCCAGAGGCTGGCAGACGCGGAGGCCCTGCCACTCAGCGGTTTAGTCAGCCCCGTAGCCGTGGACTACGATCCGGTAGAGAAGATGGTGTACTGGACTGACAAGGGCAGCCAACCAACTCACAAGATCTCACGAGCGCGCCTTGATGGCAGCAACCAAATGATAGTTGTAGAAGATCTTCGTAGTAAGTTTGAACAGCTTTTTTTTTTTTAAAGAACACTTACTATTCAAATTTGAACTTATACAGAGAATTGTTCCGCTGGCAACCTGCTGTCAAAATTATAACAGGTGAAAAATCTACAATTGTCATGTTCCCGCAATAATTATTGATTACACCCTAGCGGTTCGTTCGAGTGGTAAGACATCTGTACTGTACATGGTAGGCATGAGGTCGTGGGTTCGAGATTCACCGGATAAATCTGTGAATTATGTTTTTCACAATCGCTCGGGCCAACACTGAGTATACAGTGTTTATGAATGCTCGGTGAGGATAAAACCCTATATTGAGTCTAACTTAACTCTGCTCATTTGGTTTCATGGGTCGGTTTATGGTGTACTATATAGGTCAGTTATACATGGCGTCAGTTCGATGCAGGTTTCACTTCAGTCCGTCAGAGTTTCTTTGGCTTCTAATTAGTGTTTGTGAAAGTCTGACGTGTAATCCTTCTGACGTGTAATCCTTCACGCAGCACCACTGGGAATGGCTCTGGATGTGGAATCTAGAATGCTGTACTGGTCAGATTTTGCTTTGGAACACATCGGCCGTGCCCGAATGGACGGGACTGGGAGCAAGGAGATTATTGTTGACAATCTGGACAGTCCTCAAACCATAGTTGTTGATCACCGCAATGGGTGAGCAATTTTGTCGCGTCTGTCCTTTGTATAGTAACTGATTGTCAAATTTGATAACTGATCATTTGATAAATCACCAAATAAACCACAGGGGAAACTGACTAGATACACCTTTAATCCGGATGTCACTCCAGAAATCTCTATGTGCATCTTTTATTTAATATTGACATAGGCCTAAATCTAAGAAATTAAAGATGACCTTTCCTGATTCTAAATAGATTGTTTGTTTCCGGAGATTATATATTGTTATTCAAAAATACAATTACTCAAAATTTAAGTGACATGAATCGACAATGTCGTGCTAGTAAATTTACATATACACATGCACGGTACCATTTTCACTGCATGTATTTCTCCCTTCAGACACATTTACTGGACGGACTGGGGGCTTTCTCGGATTGAGAGAGCCAACCTGGATGGAAGCAGTCGACAGATAATCATTGAAACTGACTTGGGCATTCCGCACGGGGTCGCGATTTACGGCAAGTAATCATGAAAAGTATATTAATAGAACTTCGCCAGATTCTTGCTCACAGCCACAATAAACGATTATTGAATTGTTAAATACTCTCAATAATACAAATTGGACAATCCATTTTTTTTTCTTGTTATTTTTTCTGAGTAATTACTTTATGTGTGTCTTTTCGTTTTCTATAAGTTTAGATATACAGGATGTCCCCCAAAAAAGTAACTCACAAATAAAGGGATAACTTGACCAAGCTTTGAACTCTGTGACCAACTTGGCCCACCTGGCAGCACTTTTTGATGTTTGTTTTTTAAGACGGTTTTAAGACCGTCCGGACGACGATACAGTAAAGTCATACCCCCCCCCCCGGCATAACAATATGGATACGCTACTGGGGCTGGAGCATTACCTTGTGCCCACCAAAACTGGCCGGAAGGTACCATTTCCTTGACTTTCAAAATACAACTAGAGTTGCAGCTCAACATCATTAATTGACAGAAAGTTCTGGTTTGTTCATGTTTCATGAAGTTAAATGTGTCTTGGACGGTGGACCTACTTGTCTTATTTCCTGAAATGCTCAAAATGTTTTACACCAAACTGTCCCAAGAGGGTTTTTATATACCATGTTCAAGACAATGGAGCTAAGTGATGCATGAGCAGAGGAATGCATTATAGAGGTAATGGCAGATCCAGAACACAATATTTGGGGGGGGGGCCCAAAACAATTCGCCCCCAAAAAGTGGGTCCAAAAAATGACGGCGTGGTGTTCGGGGCCCTCTTAAGGGCCCAAAAAAAATTTTTATTTGATTCTAGATGCTCTGTGGTGCGATCTGAGGCAATTGCTGACCACTTTGACCAATGTTATTTGAGGAAAAGATGATTGTATACCTATTACCTGCCTTTATTGCGACGTCACTTAAACAAAAATGGTGGTTTTTTTGGGTGGGCAAGGGGCCATGGGGGAGGGGGCATGGGCCCCTTCACCCACCCACCCCTGTGATCCGCACTTGTATAAAGGTACTATTGGAAAGCTTACTGCACCTTGTTTAGGCCAAAAAAAAAATCGTCTCCGGTTTCTGGTATGCGCGCGTCGCCGTAGCCATGCGCGTCGGCATGAAAGATGATTTCTCAAAACCGCCAAACTCACTGATTTGACTGGAATCCTGCTACTGCACAATTTTAACGTGTTTTTAGATGGGGTTATGATCGAGAACAAGCTTTATGTGGCCTCTCTGGACTCCCATATATTTGCACTAAGTTTAGTCGAGCACCATTTGCAGTCATCAGCCGACATTTGAAGCAAAAAAAGTCAGGTAAAAAAAAAAAGCCGCGTCGCCGCACCACTTTTTGGACAAGCTCCATACCAGAAACCGGAGACTTATTTTTTTTGGCCTTATGATTAATCCATAGTATTTGTCAATACGTTCATGGCTTAATCGTATTATCCCTTTATTTGTGGGTTACCTTTTTGGGGGAGGGGCACCCTGTATACATTGTTAGCCTCTTCTTTGAGAGTAAATTGCTGAAATCGTCGGTCTTCTTTTAAAGCTCTATAATAATGTTGTTTCCTTTTATTTTTACTATGTGAAAGATCATCAAATTTCGCAGCATTTTAAATGACTAGGAAGGCCAGCTGGATGTGGACTAATTGTGCCAATTGTCTTCTCAGAATACCATCCCAATTGGGCCAGAGCACAATGCATTTTAGCATTATCATTGTGATATAATATATATTTTTTACGATAGGAAGTCATTTGTACTGGTGCGATGCCTTTCTGGACAAAATCGAGCGCAGTGACCTTCGAGGTAACAACAGGGAGCTTGTGTTGAACACAACTAACCTCCTCCAAATCCATCCTTTCGATTTGGCCGTGTACCAAGACAACGTGTATTGGACAGACTGGCGTTACACAGCCGTCATTCGTGTCCACGTGAACGGCAGGGGCTTAGATATATTCAGTCCAGCGTTGTTGCAGTTGGCTGGGGGAATTCATATCCAAGAAGGTTTGATGTCCCTTTTATTTTTGTTTAGTAATTCAAATATGTCTTCAGACTTTTTAATATGCCGCGAATACTTCCTCCCCCCCCCCCATTTGTTTGTATTCCTCGCAAAGAAAGAAAGATCAAACTTGAGCTGAGGAATCACCTAACGTTTTCTCTCCGGAATCGTGTCGTGCGCAATTGAAACATTTCCTTCTTTTTCTCCACGTACATTCTGTCAATAACTGATTTTCAGCCCTGCCTTTAAATGTGTGCCTGCCCTCAATGACATTCTGTTTTCAAAACCTGATGAGATCTGTGAGAAAAAAAATATGTGTTTCTTTGCAGAGCCTGATTTTTGTGATAGTTCCCCTTGCAACCACGGAGAGACCTGCATGGACGTCGTCAACGGATTCACTTGTCTGTGCCCTTCTGGGTCCCCTGCATGTTCAAGTTCTGGCGGTACTACAATTTGCGTCTTTATTCTAAAGAAAATGCCGATGTTTCAGAATAAATAGAAACCGTTTTAAAAAGGCAGTTGATGTTAAACCCGCTAATCATGCTTACCTACGAAAGCCCGTTAGTGCCAACATTTTTTTTGTTTTTTTAAGTTTTGTTTTTTTTTGGAAGATTTTTTGTTGGGGGGGTTTAGGGGGGAAAGGTTTTTTTTTTAACTTAACGATACGTGGGAAACTTTTGGTACGCGGGCATTGCCGTACTTCATGTCCATTATGTACAAGAACGATTTCAGGCCATAGCCGAAGTGCCGTTTCTTGGTCCATTGTTTCATAAAGGCCGCGCAGTTTATTTTTGGTAACTTTTGGAGATGTTTTTTTTTTTAATGGGGGGGGCGCCTGGGGGCGACGAGTTTTGAAAGAGGCGCCACGTCCCCCCCCCCCATCCCCTTGACTTCGCCGCTGTACATACCACCTTTTAAGATGGCTTCTGAATGCATCGATCTATACTGAGCAGTTAACGTAACATGTTGTAATGAATGTCTTCCTTTAACTGCGGTCCAGACCTCTGTGACAGTGGACCGTGTGTTAACGAGGGAACTTGCATTGATGTACCCGGCGGATTTACCTGTCAGTGCCCGGCTGGCTACGACGGACCAACATGTGACAGCGGTAAAGTTTCAAGTGATCATGGTGCACTCCCTAGTCCCCCTTTTATGAAGGAACCATAATTATGCACGCTATTGTACAATACATCTGCCATGAGTCAGATTATCTAGCACAAAGCTTTCGCCATCGAAGGGGACCTTCGTGATAAATTTGATACATTGGCGGATCCAGGGGCCAACGGGATCATGGCCCCACCTCATCCCCACCCCTGAAACTTTGTATTTGTTTTTTATTAAGGAACAGTGACGATACCTTTTTGCCTTAAATGTTCAGGAAATAAATTAAAACGCTGCGTGCCTCCCTCGCATTTTTAACCATCAGCTACACATACCTTTTAGTTTTAATAATTCAGTGTTGAAATAGCCGAGATACTATATACTTAATCCCCTTCCCCTTTTTGAAAAGAAATGCTCAAGCGCTCGAGGTCCCAAACATTTGATTGTAGGATTGGTCAGGTTTCATCTTAATTTTTCTCCCTTTCCCTTCGAATAGTTGCTCGCTGCTTGCTTACCAATGACCAATCGGATGTTCTGATTGTGGTATCGGTCGAGCAGGCTGTATACCTTCCTGGTGACTTGATTGAGTATGGTTGCCCTGACGGATATCACCTCAGCGGGTCCGCCACGAGATATTGTCGGTCAGACTTCTCGTGGTCCGGACATGAGCCTGAATGCGTCATGGAAGATCGGGCTTCTAGTAAGTGTATCATTGTCAGGAGACATAATTAGCGACACTGTTTATTCGAGACCACAAATCAACTGGCCTGACAGAAAACTAGTTACTGGTTTGTCGTTACTTGTTACATTAGTAGATGATTCACTATTAAAAGAAAGCTTACTTTTTGGTGAATGTTTTGGGGATATTTTTTGTTGTTGAATTTTCAGTTCAAGTTTCTAATATTGATATAACCAGTAGGCGATTTTGTCTAACAACATTTTATTACAATCATTTTATTCCAGCAATTAATGCAGTTCCACAACTTAATCATTTTAAGGAAAATATACTTTTAAAGGCCTTTCAAATTGATTTAGGAAACTGCTACGTTTGTTCTTACATCATTTTGTCATATCTTACTTGAGTGATTATTTTTTAATTAACTATATTTTGTAGTCATGACACTCACTTCCCGAATTTTTAATTCTCCGTGCACCAAGCCGACCTTTCCTTTCCTTTCCCTCAAATGTACCGTAAAACATTTTACATCTGTTACCTGTGATCCAGGATGAGTAATGCCACTCTTACTTTTTCCTTTTCTCCAATTCATATTCCTGATCGACTTTACTTGAGATGTCTTGTAGTAAAAGTTGTTCCAACTCTTTGAGAAGTTGCTCCAGAATATCGTTATTAGTACTTTCAGATTGATGTAGTTCGAAAAAGGTTGGAAATGCGATATGCCAATTAAGGTCGATCTGTTTTGGATACACGTGCTTGGCTAGTGCAGGAATTATATCAATATGTTTGGAAACATGATACCTGGGGGGGGGGGCAACGATTTTTTTTATGCATTGGGGGACCCCGAGGGGAGGGGGGCATTAAAAGCCGTGCAAAATAGGGAGATTTTCAAGCCTTTTTTGACAAGTCGTATCAGAAAAATTGCTTTTTACTCTTAGATTGAGGTACATTGTTGTTGTTTGAAAAAGGTTCGGAAAGCTTTAGGCCAATGAAGGTCGATATGTTTGGATACACGGGCTTCACTAGTCCAAGAAGTTAGTGGCAGTTTTGTTTTAAATATATTTGTGCCACTCTGCGCTCGTCTCATTGATATACTATAAAGCTTACAAATGCAACTATTTTCCTCTGGATTCGAACAGCTGCCCACTGCGTGCTCACCCTCAACTCATCCGATGTCCTCACGATAGTAGCAGGTCAGCAGGCTGTATACCGTCCTGGTGACTCGGTCGAGTATGGTTGCCCAGACGGATATCATCTCCGTGGGTCCGCTACCAGGATCTGCCAGGCGGATTCAAAGTGGTCCGGGCAGCCAGCAGAGTGCCTCATGACGAGTAAGTAAACAGTAATGTTTCTATGCATACATTAATAATTATAATGATGAATATTCTATGACCATGCTTGCCAGTTTGATTATTGAACCAAATGAGAGAAACCTTTCACGTGATTTTCTTACTTGTGTTTTAGGTTTGAGAAGTGATGGTCGTGCAGTACCTGTGGTACCCATTGTCAGTGGTATAGGGGTGGTCATCTTCTTTGCTGTAGTTCTGGCCATTGCTATCACTGTCTTCATACGGTAGGTGGAATTCACTGCCACTTTTCTACTTTATAACTCAACCAATGGAAAAAAAAATATTTTCACTAGTCTTGTTACATTGCCATACGACAGATAAAACAAAAACCTGTGGTTTAAACCGGCCTGTTTATCGCGAATAATAGTATCTTAAAAAATACGATTCAATGAAAATGTTAATCTTTCAAAATGTATCAACTGGATCTATTACTTCGTTTATTAATGTAAAATGTCTGGGCGTAGACATAGACGCATATTGATGGAAAATGGATGAAAAAAAGATGGAAAACCAGTGGAGTTATACGTTCTTTCACTTATCCCTTCAAAACCTCCTTAAAAGGGAATGTACAACATTTGCTCTTGCTTCAATTTTTAGTAGTAAATGGACTTAGGAGATAAGAATATTATAGCAAATATTGTTAAACTGACTTCTTTCACGTTTTGGGCTTGAAGATGCTGGAAAAGCAAGAAAAACATCATGTTCTTGTAGTCTAGTTCCCTGACCTACTTAAGATGAAACTGAGCAGTTTGTTGACTTGGGAAATTGTAAGGTCAAAGAATCAGGCCGGCAGACTTTTACCCCTACACAGGTGTGTAATCAACGCAAAGAAAATGCAAAAAAACTAATAATAAAAAAATTCAGAGCAGTTTTTGAGAAAAAAAAGCCAGCTTTCTCCAACGCTGGTCGGCCGACCAGCGTTTGAAAAAACCCACAATTTTTCTTGAAAATGTCAACACACAAGGAGCCACGATTTTACAGGGTTTTAAAAATGTCGTTCCCTTACAATCCAAGATATTTCGTGATAATATGATCCTTTCGTTTTTGGATGTTTGCAAATGTTGTATATTCCCTTTAATTCTCTACCTTATCATTATACCGAACTGTCCTGTCACAATAGCTTATCTGTATTCCAAATTGGATAGCCTCTAGCTTAAGTTGATCGATTTAATTTATTGACGGTCAACTCTAAAGCTACTCATGGATTATGTATCGAATCATATTTTTATCACAATTTCCATCTTCTAGAAAATGAAAAACAAAAAGTTCGGGTGTTAATACACTCGTGGTTTTCTGCTGCCAGATTTTAATAACTAATAACATTCACGTAAAACAATACTTGGTTTCTATAATGAAATTCTACATAAGTAGGTTGTGTATTATTTGCTGCTATATTTAAAGTCTCAGGTGACATCCAATTTCTGTTATTCCCAAATTTGATGACACAGCAAGAGGACAGCTAGTTACGGGGACGAGTTGGTTAACACTCCTGACGTCGCATACCGTACCTCCAAGGATCTCTTCATGGGGGGAACATATGCAGAAGCCAAGGAAGCCACCAATGAACCAATCTACCAGGACTCCATTCTCTAGAGATATCCCGTCCAAGTCTAGCCCTAAGAAAACATTCATACATGAAATCAAGATACCAACCGCAAGCAGTAGAGCAATGCAGGAGTCGCCATTTCTTTTTAAAGATCAAATTTGAAATGGTGTATAATCATCATGTTAGGCCTATTATCAAGATTCTTAAATTTTTTTACGACGAAATAATATTAATGACGTTTAACATGTACTCAAGAAATGTGTTTGTCAACTGCAAAAAAAGGTACTCGAGAAAACACACTCAAAGCGAGTGACATTTAAATATTACCTCTTTATGTATTATTTCATAATAGGCAATTGAATATCAAAGGAAACATTCAGCTCATTTTATTTTTAGATTTGAATCTCATAAACTTGAAGTGGAAGGGACGAAAGTATCAATTTATTCATATAAATAGGCTTTATTCGACACGAAAACGTTATAAATATGAAATTTTATTAATCTTAATCAGTGGTTGATGTTTCTTTGGAAAGTACTCCACGCATGAAATTGTGTCAGCTTTAAGGAGCCATGTCATATTGTAATGCAATCATTGAAAATACGTCTTTGTGTCCCATTTAACCTTATTATAAAATGTCGATTGCCACTTTCGAAGGTATATTGTGGTTCTGTTATAGGGTTATGTGCTAACGAACATTTCCATGTGATGTCATTTCAGGCAGAAACCTCCATGTCACAGCTATTTTAGTACCAAAAGTTGCTAAAAGTTAGAATAGCTTGCTGCCGTAAATTGTGTTTTCTTTGGTGATGCATTTTTCTGTCAGTATACATGACAATATGCATGAATGAGCACACTTTCCTAACAAATGTTTTAAGTCCGTATAACTTTTTGGGTTCACAATTTGAACAGAAAACTTCTAAACTGAACAGTGTCTTCCAGAAATGGCTCACAGCAGCAGCGCCCTCAGATGTTCAGAAAAGCATTAATTAAATGTTTTAAAAAAATAGCCAAAAGGGATGTCGAATAGCTTTGATACATTTAAGAGTAGAAAGTTGCACAAAATGTCTTCCACAGAAAATTCTTCTCGTAGATCCTGTATTGTATCTATAAGGTGTATTTTGAAATGCTAAACGCTATGTTAACAAGGAAAAGCGAATCTGAATGTATATTGCTGTTGATTACATAAACGGATTATTGCTAAAACAATTATGCTCGTGGATAACCAATTTTGCATGTTAAATATGTCCTCGTAAATGAGATACTAAAAAAGAACCTGTATTTACAAACAGCGCCCTCTATTGATTTGTATTATATAAAGTTGTACGTCAAACAATCTTAATGATGCTCTTATAATTTGCCTCTTTTATGCGTTTGTCTTGTCAAATAATTAAATTTACACTAGATGCAAATTACATTTTTACTCGAAGTGAATTAAAAAACAAAATATTCTTTTTTGGTTTTAAAGTTATCGACCATCTCTGAAAGAGTACGGTGATTTGCAGTCATAAAAGTAATAGGAATGGGGGATTGGAAAGGGGCGACTTTATAAAATTCGAATTATTGGCTTCCAGACAAAAAATCAGCTCTCTCAGGGCAGGTTTATTTTGGCGCAAAATAAGAGCCATTTTTAGATAGTTGCAGAGGCCCAAAATCAAAACAAAATATTGTTTTCGTTAAAATAAAACATAACAATTAAAAATTCGATGACAAAAAGATTCGTAGAGCTCCTTTCGATTTTAGACTATATGTACACATTTGGAACTAAACAATAGATTACGTGTAAGAACTAGTACTTGTTCACCTGGTTTATTCAGCCATGTTAGAAGCCTGGATTGTAACTGTGTCACAACTGAGGGCGCACTTTAGTATACTGTAAATGCATTACTGAGTGCGGGAGCATACATTACAGTTTGGTTCATTGTAGACTCTGCATGTTTTGCCTTTCAAACCGTTCACAGTCCGCTTATGTGTGACATTATTATTATTCAAACAGGCGCTGCGGTTACGCGAAACGTGTCTTTAGTTTTTCTTTTTCTTAAGATTCTCTCAGCAATTCCAACAAATATGACCCACAAAAATGTTTCAGCCCGTCTACATTTCTAAAGAAATATTCATTGGTTTTAGCTTGTGAAGCGTCGACAGAATATGGTGTCAGTTCTTAGACTAACTTGTATCGATAGGTAGTCGAATATATCATAGGTAAATATTCAACTTAAACATTCTCAAGACATAAGCACACAAAAGCGTATCTCCCTACTTATCACCTGTAAGTTGTCAATGAGATTTTCCAGTAGCTTTGCTTATTCGTAAAAACACGGATTGCTTTAGAAAAGCATGGGAAGAGAGTAAATCAATTAAGTTCATCTGCGAAAGACTAGCGGCAATTTAAATACCAAGCATCAATGGGCTTCATGCACCGTGAATAAGAAAAGGGGCAATTCTTACGTCACGTTTCCGGAAGAACAACAGTTAAGGCAAATTAATTATATAGGCAATAAATTATCAGATACACTGTACAAAATAAAACGCTGGTTGGTAGAAGTGCGGGCATAATAGGCCTATAATTTGGGACAGATGTCGATCAAAATTAACGACCGTGCCCAAAGCTCGTCGCACAAGAGCTACATGCTGAGCAAAATCGCTTATCATGTGGACCCCTTGCATTAAAATACCCATGGACACCAGTGCTGAATGCTCATACTTTTTCTTTTTTTTATACTCAGAACTCTCACAGTTCTTAAGCTGCACAGAAAAATGATGATCAACTTGTCGGCGTACGTGCGAGTCATAAGGCGTACGTACGAGTTATAAGGCGTACGTACGAGTTAAAAGCGTAAGTACGAGTTATAAGGCGTACGTAAGAGTCATAAGACGTACGTATGGGTTATAAGTCGTACGTACGAGTTAAGTGAAGAGAGAGAGGTTTTTTTTTTCTCACCATGTCCCTAACACAGCTTCGTCGAAAAGAATCAAACAGCTAGGGAGGTTTTAGCCTCATGGCCTCGCAAGACAGAACGGCCTCGAATGACTTTTTGCTCAGCACGTAGCTCTCGTGTGCATCGGACGTAATAGCAGAAAATAATAGTCTTGACGTTGCTGCATCGGTTACCCACAATACAAGCGCCATATTGCAGCTGGGAAAATAGTGGTGGGAGTAGAAATTCCAGCAATTTCCTTGACATTCCAAGAGTGTCCCACATCGAACTACCTTGTTGCTTCGAATTCGCATTAGTACCGGCCTTGTTGCCAACTAAAAGCTGTGTTTGATTTTTTACATGTATATCTTTTCGACACAATTGAGGGGATGGGTATAATTGTGCAAGTTATCCTTTCTGCTTGTCGCCAACTATGTTAGCATAACACGTTGGCGATATGAGCCCCTTTTACATTTCCAGATAAATGCAAACCCGAGATCGTTTGTCGTTATCTATTTTGTAATCACTTTGTTATCACAGTCTATTTTTGTTTTGTAATTTCATATCGATCAATTTGAATAAAAAGTGTTGTTTTTTATCAGAATATATAGTAATTGATGTGTATTTAGAACAATGATTAAAAAAAGGAATGCATGCAATCATTTTAGTTTGATTTTTTATTGTGTATGTGCTTAGTCCGTTCCAGCCGGCAGCCGGTATTTTGACCCTTTCCAAATGACTGCATTAAACCCTGAGACAATATAGACCCAGGGAGGATAACTTGCCTCCTGTATTTTTGTTCGATCTCCACGCAGTAGCAGGTAATGGATTATATCGTGTACTTTGTGATTTTGCAACGTGTATTAATTTATAAATGCCCATTGCGAATTATTACTCCAAATTCTCACACACCCCCTAAAAAAGAATTTCCTTTTCCATTTTGCCTATAATTATAGTCAGACTGCAGTCGCGTGGTTTGCCGAAGCGCAACGAGACGACGGATGTTGCTTGATTTCAGTAATCATCGGGTATAGAGGGCGCATGCGTGCATGTGCCCCCCCCCCCCCCCCCCCCCCCACACACACACACACAAACACCCCGGCTGGATACTTATACTCATGAACAGCCTTTTTACCGAGATCAAGAATCTCGACCATGACCTGCAGTCATTTGGACAAACTTCCTACAAATTCCCTCGATAGTAACAGGATAATATTCAAGACATCAAATCTAGCAAAGAAGGCCTAGAAAAAAAACACTAGTAGATACCAACAAAACATGCGCAACACAACGGTCCGATGACTTGGTAATGGTTGTGTCCGCCCGAATTAAATCAATTTGCTAAAAACGACACCAACAGTTACACAGCCGAGTGGATTGGAAACAGCCCTTCAAGAACACACCCAGTATTCGAAATTTGGCAAAACTTGACAGTAGCTGGTTGTAATCGGCTAAACATGGTAACCCAGTCCTGTACTTTAGTTTTGTTTCATGAAAATTATTTTGAATAATGCTTTAAAACCAGCACAACCCCCCCCCCCCCCCCCGCCCGAAGAAAAAAATCAGATAAAAAAAAAAAACCGCTAGAGTTTGGAAACCAACTGAAAGAAACCACCAAACAGATATATCCAGTGTAAAAATTGCTCACAGCGCCCTCTTTGTGAACCAATTAATCGTAAGCGCAAGCTTATTGCGCGCAGTATATAGGGCTAGACGTCGTTATGGTTTGATAAGCGATAACCCGCCCCAGCGATAGCCCGCCGACGAAAGAGGACGCTACCACGACCAACCAATATGGTAGCAGACCAGTAAATAAACTTCCATAGACCCCAATAGTAAATGCTCACACTTCAAAAAGTCGGAAAAAATACTCACAACTCTCCAAGGTGTTCAAGACACACATCAAATTAAAGCTTATTTCATCATCTTTCATTTTCTTTTCAATTTTGTTGGGGGTTAACTGATGACTTTTAGGAGAAATTTCCATCCGTTGATGATCGCCCCTGAAAATAGTCCTGAAGCCCATCGCCATGTTGAAAAACGATACCTACACTCCATTGCACAATAGAGCGCTTTAAGGGCCCCAATTTCATCCAAATTGAACGGAACTACAAGCTCACAGTCCTGTGCACGGCTTCCACCCATATATTTTACAAACCCTCAAGTTCATGGCCCACAGCATGCTCAAATACTGAAGATTTGAGGGCATGCAAATCGTGATTTGGCCGGCGCAGGCAATTTCGGACCGATTTACTGGCCTGCAACCGAGGTTTAAACAAAATTCCCCCAAAGCATTTGTGCGGCACGAGGAAGGATGGATGACTCATATTTCATCAAAAAATTGCGAGAAGTTAATTGAGTTTTTGCTCCTACCAACCCCAAATTCCCCCCCCCCCCTCCTTGTTTGCTCGAAATTGCTGTGATCAGACGACGGTCTATCGGCCCCATTCAGATTTTGGGCGCATTTGTTGCGGAACCGCCATTGGTGACCCCTTTTGAAACGCTGCCCCCCCCCCCCCCCCCCAGGTCCCCCCCCCCCCCCCCGCCGAAAAAAACACTGTCGTGGAATATAACGCGCAAGCGCCCTCATTTGACAACGAACGATGGAAGAAGCCATTTTGAGATTAACAGACCAGTAAATAAACTTCCATAGACCACAATGGTAAATGCTCACACTTCAAAAAGTCGGGAAAAATACTCACAACTCTCCAAGCTGTTCGAGACACACATCAAATTAAAGCTTATTTCATCATCTTTCATTTTCTTTTCAATTTTTTTTTTTTTTTTTGGGGGGGGGGGATTAACTGATGACTTTTAGGAGAAATTCCATCCGAAGATGATCACCCCTGAAAATAGTCCTGAAGCCCATCGCCATGTTGAAAAACGATGCCTACACTCCATTGCACAATAGAGCGCTTTAAGGGCCCCAATTTCATTCAAATTGAACGGAACTACAAGCTCACAGTCCTGTGCACGGCCTCCACCCATATTTTTTTACAAACCCTCAAGTTCATGGCCCACAGCATGCTCAAATACTGAAGATTTTGAGGGCATGCGTATCGTGATTTGGCCGGCGCAGGCAATTTCGGACCGATTTACTGGCCTGCAACCATATCACCCACGAACCCATCCGCACAACGTCTTGGCCAACTCGTAAACTAGTGCGCATGCACGACTTCTGCAGGCGATTTCGGCCCATTTTCACAAAAGAGGTGACCACTGAAGTTGCACAGACGTCTTGCTGCATCTTTTAGATTACTCGAAGAAATGTGAAAGTTTGCTTCGGAACTAATACGAATTTGTATGATTGCGCGCTGCATATATTAGGCCAAGCACGTGCGGACACATTTGAAAACCAGTTGGCCTAGATTGTCGTTTCGACGGGTTCTTGGGTGATATTGGTTTGTCGTGATAGCGCCCTCTCGCGGTGGCGGTTAATTCTGGGGTCCCTACCCAGTCCCGGAGTACGCAAAAGACCGAGAGAGTATCTAGACTCCTTGCATTATGGAAATACCGATATGCTGACAATAGCATTCATCCCGGTGAATGATGTGTCAATCAAAAGGTTTTCAACTCCCACCTCCTCACTATATTCATCAAGCTAACACTGTGGCATTTCAGAATATAGAAATGAATGTGTTATTCAGTAGTATATTTACTATGTCTAATATCATTGTTGTTAATTGTGTTGTGTTAACTATATTTCTCTTATATGCATGTTTCAATTATTTGTGCATTACTTGAGCCTCCAGCTTTATTCCTAGCTTGTGTCATACGTCACTCTCTGCTGTTTTAGCACTTTGTGGAAAAACTTTCATTCCCATTCTTTCTTAGTTCTTATAACCTAACTTTCCGGTGGAGGGGTGCAGCGTTCGTGGCGCATGAGTTGTGACTCAGTGAGCAGTATTTAATTTATTTAATGCATCGTAATAATTCCAATCAGTTATCTGTTAGACTTATTGGCAAGATGAAACAAAAAATGTGTCGATTGCTGTGATGTGGGATATGTCGTTTAGCACCATGGGCTAATTCGCCTCGGCTGTTAATATACAGCGACATATCCCGCATCCCAGCAGTCCACATACATCGATGACGGAATGTTTCTGAAGCATTTCGGAGAGTTAAAGCACAAAAGAAAGCTCAAGGGTCGTGTTGTTGCTCCTCTAACCCTATTGAAAAAAAGGTCTGCATGAAGGTAGGTATTATGCAAGACTGATTGTTCATTGGCCATGAAAACCCATTGTGTATGTCTTGGGGACAAGCTTTCGAAGAAGAGGAATCCCATCGACGTTGGCATATTGCATGACTTGAGAACTTTGCGTGCGTTTGGACATGTTGGCCTGTTCAAGGTTACATCATTGTATTGATATTTACATTTGTTATTGAAATCCAGACGAAAGACAACAAAGATCGGGACTTTCCCTCCCGCACCCCAGAAATAAGTGACGCATTATTCTGCGCATGCGTAGACACCGTGAATACAAATCATATCTATCTTTAGGCCCTGTTTTTTTCCAAAATGCGTAGGTGCCATTTTCATCAAGTATCGAAAGTTGATCTGTTATCCGCCTGTTGATATGAAATAACTTGATAAAGCCTACCAAGTTGAAACATCAAGCTGACGTGACAGTTCGGCTTCTGAAAAAAAAGGTTTGTGCAAATTGATTTTTTTTTCTTTTTCGTCTAATTTCGGATCATACTTGGCTGTGTAAAGATGTTATATAAAATACAGTTGCACCCGATATATTGTGAAACAGTAATACTAAACATACAGACAGATGTGGCGTTCAGTAAGATTATTATGCACGATAAAAGGTAAGCGCCAACATTTTTGAAGTGAGTTTTGTGTATTGTGATCAATGTAGAAACTTGTTTGCATAATTAACCACAGATTTCATCATACTTATAGTATAGTTATTAATTCATCGGGAACAGTAGATAAAGTTTACAACTATTCTATTCAACTTTCAGGACCATATGCAACACAAATGTAAGAATACTTGGTATATCGTTTCCGGATTTCTCGTCACGTAGGCCTATTTTTATGTACAAAACATGATTTAACCCTAAAGGGCGGGGTTATTTTGACCATCTCTCAGCGGGGGGGGGGGGGGGGGGGCAATTCCTCCCCCCCCCAAAGATCTCGGCCATCGAATGACGAAACAATTTGAAACTCAGTAAATGCATAGAACAACCTCTCATTAACATACCCAAGAAATTTCATGACTATAGATTAAAGGGTTTTTGAATTATGGCTAATATGCACGAATGGTAATTCTGCGCTGTGTACACTACGTAAACGGGGAAATTCAGTTTTCACGGACTTTTTTTCACTGCGCGGGAACCCGTGTCCGATTTTTTATGTTTTTGGTATCAAAAGATGCGCAAGGCTCGAGGCTAAAAGGTCAGAACAGCTTGGGTCGCGAGGGAAAAAAAATTAAGGCTATCGCAGAAAAAGTTGAGGGGGGCGGATTCCGGCCCCGGCCCCTTTAGGGTTAAGGACTAGCGCAATTAAATGAATGACATTTTCAGTTTACACGTTGCAAGGTCTGAAGATGGAACGTCATCTCAAGTGTGTGTTTTTAATACCCCACATAGTTGGAAATCATCTATATGTTAATACATGTAGAAATAAAAGCCACAGGTTGGTTTGGTGCTCTACAATATCACTTTGTCTGAGCTTCAAATGTACATACAAAAATCAATGTAATACTTTTTCATTAAGAAATATCTAAAGGCATAAGATCATCTGCATTTATACTAAAAGTAACCTACCAAATTATTATCAAAAACATGACAATGTATTGAAGACCATCGCACTGGTATTAAACACTCCGCCATATCATTCCGTCTGGCTTACATGTCATTTATATAGGAAGAAAAGAGGATGTGCAGGTGATTTCGAGCGATCTGTCAATTATTCGATGTCTTTATATAAAAACAAAATGAGTTCTATGAACGAAATCGTGTTTCATGATGTAGAGGTTGTGCATGATATTTCACTTTTTTTCGCAAAAAGTCTGCTATCCACTGAACTGACAGTTTAAAAGTTTAGATTTTGGACATTCTTCTTTGGATGTTGAGGTGTGTTTATTTTTGGAAACGAACAAAATACAAAGAAAGCAAATGATCCCATATGCCTTTAGAATTTTCAAAATACATGCTTTTATGGTAACATAAAAAAATGTCCGAAATTATTTTTCCTTCAAAGAGCAACAATAGTTTCTCTCAAGATATGATTGTTTTCTCACAATTTTACGATAGCTTCGATATAAACAGCTTGGATTGCTAAACGAGTACGTGAAAATGATACAATGTGGCACCGATTGCAAGCCCCTGTTATTTATAGCGAGAAAAACTCGAAATGTAGGGCTTGCTGCCGCATTGTAATTGTGCATATTGAGAAAGAAATTTGGGGTAATTATTTTTCAGATTTCTTTAAATTGTGTTGGTTGTTGTATTCTTTGTCACGGTCCAAAAATAACTTTAATCCCCCAGCCCCATGTAAATCTAACCTTAAGCGAAATTCTTGTCCGACAGTGTAAGTTACAATCATTTAACTGTTTGACTTATTGGCAAGATGAAACAAAACAGTTGTTGACTACTGTGATGTGGGATATGTGATATGTCGTTTTAACCCTGATTGATGTGGGATATGTCGTTTTAGCGCCATCAGCTAATTCGCCCCGTCTGTAAATATAAAGCGGCATATCCCGCATCACACTGAGCAGTCCACAGAAATCGATGATGGAATGTTTTCGAAGCACTTCGGAGAGTTAAAGCACAAAAGAAAGCTCAAGGGTCATGCTGGTACTCCTCTAGCTCTATTGAAAACAAGTCTGCATGGAGGTAGTTATTATGCAAGACTGATTGTTCCATGTCCATGAAAACCCATTGTGGAAGTCGTATTGGGGACAAGCTATCGAAGAAGAGGAACCATTGACGTTGGAATCACATGTCGTGAGAACTGTACGTGCGTTTGGACACGTTGGCCTGTTCAAAGTTTACACATTGTATCGATATTTACATTTGTTATTGAAATTCAGACGAAAGACAACAAAGAACGGGACTTTCCCTCCCGCACCCTGGAAATAAGCCACGCATTCTTATGCATATGCACACTCCAAATATCAATCATATGTATTGTAAGGCCTGGGTTTATTTTCAGACCCGGAGGATGAGCTCTAGAAGAAGCAGTGGAATCCCATCGACGTCAAGGGATTCGCCAGGATGGGGCAAGGGGTGGAGGTGGAAAAAGAGGGGGAAAGGGGGAGGAAGTAAAAAAAAAACCTGCGAAATTGGTGTCAAGTCATATTTACTTTTAATGGGAGTATGTAGGGCTGTTAATGGGGTGGGGTGGGTAAATGTCCCCCTCCCACCTTCGAAAAAAAAAATGCGAATACGCCAGAGAAACTACAAGACTTTTGGGGGTGGGGGTAAATGTGCTTTACAACCCCCCCCCCCCCTGAAAAAAATCCTTGCGCCGCCCATGATCAACGTTTGCATAAATTTGAACTTGCCAGTACGTTTGGAAATGTTCAAAATTACTTATTTGTATTGATGTTTACTTGTTATTAAAATTCAGACAAACAACAAAGAACGGGACTTTACCTCCCGTGCCCCAGAAATAAGTGACGCATTCTTGTGCGCATGCGTAGACACTCCCTGAATACAAATCATATTTATTCTTAGTCCCTGGTTTATCCAAACGCGTAGTTGCAGTTGATATTTTATCTCTTACTACTGTGGAGGTGATGGTCTTCGTGTTATCCGCGCTGTTGATATGAAATAACTTGATAAAGCCTTCCAAGTTGAATCATTTAAGCTGACGTGACAATTCGGCTTCTGAAAAAAAAAGGTTCGTGCAAATTAGTTGTATTTCTTTTTCAACAAATGTCGGAGCATACTTGACCGTGAAAAGATGTTATATAAAACAAAAAAGCAGTTGCACCCTATATATTCTGAAACAGTTATACTAAATATACAGACTGATTTGGCGTGCGGTAAGATTATTATGCACGATAAAGTGTAAGCGCCAATATTTTTGAAGTTACAAAATGTAGTTTTGTGTATTGCGATCAATGTAGCAACCTTTGTTTACATAACTAATCACGGATTTAATCATCATTTTTTTCATCGAGAAATGTGAATAAACTTCACATCTAGTCTATACTTTCAGGGCAATTGCAATACGAAAGTAAGAATACTTGGAACATCGTTTCCTGAGTGCTCGTCATGTAGGTCTATATTTTTGTGCAAAACATGATTTAAAGACTAGCACAATTAAATGAATGACATTTACAATGAACATGTTGCAAGGTCTGAAGATGGAACGTCATCTCAAGTCTGTATTTAGCATGTGAATGTTTTGTCTTCAAATATGTAGAGTATTTTTTTATTTGTTCAGTAGCCCTGAATTAATTACTTGCACAGTACTGTATTTGTAGCTTGTTTTTAATACGTGCTCTACAACAACGGTTTATCTGGGTTTTAAATGCACATACAAGAATCAATGCAATACTTCAATGTAAAAAATATCTGAAGGTATATAGAATCATCCGCATTTTTTAAAAGTAACCTACCGAATTTTGGTCAAAAACTTGACAATGTATTGAAGATCACCGCACTGGTGTTGAACACTCTGTGAAATCATTCCGTCTGTTTTGCATGTCATTTATAGGAAGAAAATAGGAAAAGCAGGAGATTTCCAACCATCAGTCAATTAATCGATTCTTATATTGAAAAAAAAAGAGTTCTATATATACGAAATCGTGCTTCATGATGAAGAGGTTGAGCGTGATATTGCACTGTTTTCTCAACATGTGTGCTATCCACTGAACTGAGAGTTCAACATACTAGATTTTGGACATTTTTCTTTGGATGTTGAGTTGTTTATTTTTTTAGAAACGAACAAAATACAAAGAAACACAATGATCCTCTATGCCTTTAGAATTTTCAAAATACATAATTTTATGATGACATAGAACTCGTTATCTCCGAAATCATTTTGCCTTCAAGACCAACGATAGTTTCTCTCAAGATATGATTTTCCCCCCACAATTTTAGGATAGCTTCGATATAAACAACGTGGATTGATCAACGAGTACCTAAACATGTTACAATGTTGTACGAATTACAAGCCCCTGTTATTCATAGCGAAAAACCGTGTAATAGCAGCTTGCTGCTGCATTGTAATTGTTCATTTCAGAAAGAAATTAGGGATCATTATTTAAAGTATGTTGGCTTGTTCCAGATTTCTTTAAATTGTGTTATTCTTTGTCCATAAAGAATTTCAAACTCCCAGCCCCATGTAAATCTATCTTAAGCGAAATTCTGGTTCGCCAAAGTTGCTAGCATTTACAAAACTGATTTTGTTGAGTCATGGGGTCGAACACAATATTTTCTGCAACATAATTTTATCAGTAATTTTTGCAATGGGGTTTTTGTACAAAACCAATATGCAATTATTCAAATATGTTTTGATACCAACTAAAGTCAAAACAGAAATCTTCAATAAGCCGTTTTCCCTTTGCTTTTTCGCTCCTCTCCACCTCTAATTTCAACACACATTGATGGTATCCTTGTTATTTTGGAAATTTACTTCCTCCAAACATTTTTTCAGCCCTGAGTCATATACAAAGGTTACAAATCCCCAGTTCATGAACAGATTTTTTTTCCGTTTTCTTTTTTGTTGTTATGTGTGTGTTACAATGAATGAATCAACAAAAGCTGACGTCATGGGAATGATTTAGCATTTTCTGTCCACTACTTACGACCATTACATGCATATTATTACATGTAGTACACTGTTTCCGGACAAACTAAACCCACACGGGTTTTGCGTATTCAAACAAAAAAATTCTTCCCGGCTGATAGCCTATTATTTATGGGTCTTTGTTTAGAACCATTAAGTTAAAAACTTTGGCGAACAAGGCCTTACTCAAAATGATTAGACACCGCGATTACTTCCGACTGCTGATTGATTCTGTAATTCCAATAATATCATTATAATTATCACTACTTACCGAAAGCCCTGGACACTATGAATATTCAAAGCGCGACAGAGGGTGCGCTCTGGCTGCGCGACGGTGTTTTTATTTGCAGCGCACGTCGTGAAGGGATCATGATTATTCAGCAGTTCGATGTCTATTCATAACAAAATAACAATGACGTCACACCATTATTATCAGTCATCATTATTATCACTCATGTATGTACATTTGAGCATTTCAAACGACTTTCGTCGAGTTGCCGCAGACTGCGGATCTCAAGATCTGTAGTTCGAACCCGGTACCCGTGTCCATTTTCACCAAATAGTTTTGTTGGTTGGGATAGGTTTAATTGAAGGGAAAACACTACGAGAACCTCAGTGTCTTTCAATCACACAGCGTGATAAATATTCATGTTAGCGTTCGTCACTTGATTGGTTAAAATACGACCTATGCTGCAGAAAAAAAAATACGCCTGCAGAGGCGCAGTGCTTTTATCTGCAGCTAGCACATGCATATCGTCAATGGATCAAGGTTATTCGGCTAGCTAGCCTTTATTCATAAGAAAATAACAACGACGTCACACCATTCCTATCGCTCAGTCATGCATGTGCATGATAAAGAACAGTTTTCGGCGAGCTGCCACGGTGGCCTTGGGGTTAGTGGAATGGACTATGAATCGCGAGATCTGTGGTTCGAACCATGATCATTTTCATCCAATATTTTTGTTAGTTGGGATAATTTAATTGAATGGAAAACACTACGAGAATCTTAGTGTCTTCCATCCACACAGAGTGATAAATATTCATGTTAGGGTGCATGATGTGATTGGATAAAATACCATGTATGCGGGGAAAAAAATACGCCGCCGGGCGTAATTTTTTCCCCCAGGAGGGTTAGGTCAATGTCATGAAAAATTAAGTTTTTTCCTTTGAATCATGACAAGACACTAAGGTTTCGTTTTCTTTTTTCCTTAAATTAAAATTATCTCAATGATGAATGGAAAAGAAAAATAGTCCATGAAAACGCGTAGAGACAACGTGGACTCGAACCAGTGATATTTGTATTCATAACTCATATTGCTATGCACAATAGGGTTAATGTGTGGTAGCTACGACACTTGGTTCTATAAAACGCTTTTATGTAACAGTATGACCAAATAACAACAAAGTTCGAACAAGGACCAGTTGTTAACTAGTGGTTGGTTCGTGACGTAGCTAGCGCATGCGCACCGAAGTTGAAGTGCAAACGACTCTAGTCGAACTATTGTCATGTCAACGACTGTCAGAAAATGGCGGTTGCACAATCATTCAACACTTGTTTCTCTTTATTTACACAATAATAGTGATTGTGAATAGTTTACAACATCTTACATAATCGCCAATATTATTGTGCAATGGTGACAAAAGTGACATAATCGTAAACTAACATGGAAACAACTGTGCAATGAAAATGACATTTGGCGCTGACAATTTCGTTTAATCCGCCATTTTGTTGACACTTGGTTCCCACTGCACTTTGATATGGAAAATGCTACCGATAACCAGCTATAAGTCGTTGCGCGCGACCAGCCTTTTCATACAATAAAAAATATTTTCATACGATAAAAAAAGATATATACATGTACACTGACACCTGAGGATCATCTTTGTCCAGAGTTCAAGATATCTGGCCATGGACAATGTACACCCAATGGTCAATGTTCATGAATCTGTAGATCGGTTGCCAAATTGGCATTTTCTGTTAAATGAGAGCTCAGCCTAAAGTAAAGCACACGGCCAAGCGAGAGGGGCTTAAAGTAACAGAAATCTGATGCAGCAAGGCTGTCGTCTGCGATCTGTTGTTTTCACCTGAGACGATAATCGAATTAGAACCCTTAATATCGCCCCTTTTTGGCGAGCTACGAAGCAGATGCGAGCCTATGTAATACCGATTTCCGTCCGTCTGTCCGTCCGTCCGTCCGTCCGTCCGGCGTACGTCTGTCTGGCCGTCCGCGTTCAGATAAAAATGTTGAAGTTTTGGGTTCCAGCTAACTTGGTAAAAAAAATTGCAGTTTACATGTATCATCTCTATAACTCACAATTAGTTTCATTTCATTGCAGTTAATTTTATGATTTTATTGAGGAATTTTAATCAAGGAAAATGTTACAGTTTTTAATTGTTAAATGTATGTATAGTGGGAGAACATGTACATTATACATGTACCTGTATAACATGTACACTATGCATTTTGGGGGAGCATTCATATGTATACTTATGTGCATGTGCTTCTGGTTTGATCTTTTAGTTCTATGGGGTTGGAGTTGGGATGGGTAGGGATAGGTCGGGGAGGATGGGGTGGGGTCGGGTGGGGTATAGGGGTTTGGGTTGGTAGGGATGGGGTACGGGAGGATGGGGGGTTTGAATAATGGGTTTGGGTGAGGTTGGGATGTGTAGGGGTGGGGTGGGGACAGGTAAATGTAGGGGAGACAGGTAGGGGAGGATGGGGTAGGTGGGTGTAGGGGTTGGGTTAGGAGGGGGTGGGGGAGGGGGCGGGATATAGGGATTGAAGTAGGGTTTGGGTTTGGTTGGGGATGTGTGGGGGTGGGTGGGTGTAGGGGTTGGGTAAAGGGAGGGTGGGGCAGGGGGTGGGATGTAGGGATTGGAGTAGGGGTTGGGGTGGGGATGTATGGGTATGGGAGAATGGGGTGGGTGGTATAGAAGGGGGATGGGGGAAGGAAGGGTTCGGGGAAGGGGAGGAGATAGGGATTGGAGTTTGGGTGGGGTTGAGATGTGTAGGTGATGGGTTGGGATGGGTAGGGGGAGGATGGAGAGGGTAGGGGTTGGATGGAGTGGGTAGGGGTTGGGGTGGGTAGGGGGTTGGGGAAGGGATGGTGGTGGAAGGGGGAGGAGATAGGGATTGAAGTTTGGGTGGGGTTGAGATGTGTAAGTGATGGGGTGGGGATGGGTGGGGAGGATGGAGTGGGTAGGGGGTTGGAGTGGGTTTGGGGGGGGGCAAGGAAGGGATGGGGTAAGGGTAAGGTTTGAGGCATGTGGTGATGATGCTGTGTCTACATGTACATACCCATTGATGTTCCGCATTTGTGGGGACTACACAATACCGGTAGTTCTTCCATGGTAATACATGTATGGGGACAGAAGATTCCGTGGGGGCTGGAAAAAGGCTCCACAACAGGGAACCTAATTCCCTAACAATGGAAAACTTTTCATGTATAAATGGAAATATTTGTACATGTATTTATTAGGACATTTGTTGACTTTTTATATTGGCATTTAAAAACTGACCCCTACACCTTGGCACATCAACGAGAATCCTGATCCCCATCATGCCCATCCCCCAACCCTACCTTCAGCCTCCCTTCCTGCCTTCGACAGCAAGCCATGGCGGCTTCGCCGTTCTAGTTTATATTTGAAACTGCGCGTTTGAAAACAGCACCATCTTACGGACGCGGGTGCTGTGGGAATGCAAACTGCAATAGCAATAGACAATGGCCTGATGTAAGTCCTACAGTAACGTAGCTTTACTTTGCTTTGCGGGGGCGTTATTCCACCCTGTCAAAAGAACCCTACGCGGTAGGGGGCCCCCGAAGGAAACATAACATTTTTTTTTATTCTATATTTTTTTCAGAATACCAGGACAAGCTTTCTGCCGGTAATGGGACACCTGCTAGTCGAGGGATTATTGGGGGTTGTTCGGGTATTTTTGTTACTCGGAGCTGCATTCCGAACAGTACAAGCAGGTAATGTTTGCTGTTTAGAATCATATAAGTGCGGTTCCTCGCCGGGAAAAAGGAAATGTTAATCTCATTATTGATAAGGTGAAAACTAGGGTGTCAAAATAGTTCAGCAAATTATCGAACAGCCAAACAAAATAGGACAGTGCGACTAACGAAACAACGCAACAACATTAGAAACCAAATGGCGTAATGAATTGCCTTTTTAACTTTTTAATCAATAAAACTACTGTAACAGTATAACTACTTGAAGTTTTATTGAAGGTTTTTTTTTTGGGGGGGGGGGGTTCTTTCTTTTTGTTATTTAAAGTGCTTTATTTCGATACTTAGACGTGAGTATTACCATGAGTACATTGGGTTTGTGCATGCTCTTCACAGCTTAGAGCCCAACTTGGACATAATTCCCAACTCACTTAGCGCCCTCTATCGCCCTGATCCATTACACTCGGAAGCGAGATGTAAAGGCATAATATGATAATTTGCTTTTCATTCATTTTCATTGTTCGTTTTCAATAATAACACCGCTCAAAATCCAAAGGAAAATGTTCAAAACCCAACCAATTGAAGATTCAGCTCAGAGGAAATTACACTGCAAATGTATGCACATTATGTTTCATCAGAAAACTAGTCTAGGGGCTAGACGTGATATTGTTTGATACGCGATAACCGCGCGCCGCCGCGATAACCGGCCGCCACAAGAGGGCGCTATCACGACCAACAAACATCCCCCACGAACCAATCAGAACAACGTCTAGGACAAGTTGCCTAAAATCTCCCCTGAATGATGGGGGAAACTATAGTACGCATGCGCGACTTCTGCAGGCAATAACGGTCCATTTTCAGTCCCACACCTACTACTCACAAGAAAAGAGCGAGTGAAGATGCACAAAAGTCTTGCTACAACTTGCATACTACAGGAAAAAAATTGAAAGTTTGCGTCGGAACTACTATTATTTTGTTTGAATTGCGCGCTGCGTATGTTAGGCTAAATAGGTGCACGCTTTACACAACCAATAGGAATTGGCCTAGACGTTGTTCTGACGGGTTCGTGGGTGATATTGGTTGGTCGTGAAAGCGCCCTCTCGCGGCAGCGGGATATCGCGGTGGCGTGTTTTCGCGTACGTATCTGACGAATAACAATGTCTAGCCCCTAGACTATCAGAAAACACGAATTCGGCGATAGCTCTCATTTTTCCTGAAACATTTTTTTTTAATGACATCGTAGTAAATCACCAACATTTCTTGCTTTCTTCTCAATGACATCAAGCCTGGCAAATTGTCAAGGGGTGTTTAGTACCAGTAGGCCTACGGGGAGTACGATCATTTAATCAATATTTTGCTATTGGTTACTTGCATTAATATGGTTCTACACATATTATAAGAACAGTATAATAATCGCATACAACAACTACATTTTTGAGAGGTAAAAAGGACATTTTGATTGCGTGACTAGGTAAATCTTGAACAATATCATTTCATATTTATTATCTTCATGTAGGAGATTTTGCACTTGTTGCTGATCTGCATAATGGTACCATTTACGCCGGAAGCATGGGCCGTGGTCTTGCCGACATAGCGCCTCTCCCTCTCAACGATGTGAAGCGCCCAGTGGCTGTTGACTATGACCCGATAGACAGAATGGTTTACTGGTCCGATCTGGAAAGCTTACCATTTCCACGGATCTCCAGGGCTCATCTGAATGGTAGCAGCCAAATGATAGTTGTAAACCAACTCCATCGTAAGTTAGTCGATTGTAATGTTGCAGGCGTGGATCCGGGGGGGGGCATCTCTGTCAAAAAAAAAATGTTTTCATGGAAATTCATTCAAAATAATCCAACCCCCAACCCCTGTTCTGACACCCAAAAAAGTATACTGGTAATAATGTCTGCCTGTGCACAAAAAAACCGGACAGAGCCAGTTTTGTAAGGGGGTATTTTGTACTCTATTCTGTAATACAGTGTTAATTATCGTCGGATTTGAACAGCGCCCATTGAGCGCACCCATTGAGGCAAAGTGTCTGGAGAAAAAACAATTATCTACATTTCAGAAATATTTGCAGATGAACCCCCCCCCCCCCTCCCGATCCGCCCTTGTGTTGACACGTACCGCTGAAAAATCAAACACTTTTGATCTCAGGCTGTGCTCCGTGGTCATGTAAGGGTCGATGTGGCCGGCAGTCATAGGCGCCTTTACGTGCCAGCTGCCCGACCACGTTGTAGCCGTGTCCCTCGCAATTCAGCATACCAGCTGCGAGTAAGGATGATTAGTCTCCCAAATTATTATTATTATTATCATTAAATACTTTGTGTTACAAACACTCATTTCATTCGATTTCACTGCAGCTGAAGGTTTATAAAGGGATCGAGAAAAAAAAAACATTCGTGGTTTTGTCTCTAAGGATCTATAGCATTATAAATGTGCTTAAATGTTTACACCAGCAAAAGATAGATGTCTACTGGGTGAGTAAACAGGGTGAGTAAATAAAACGAAACCCAAATGGCAGGACCAATTTTTGAATGAAGTTTTGCCTGTTGCACTTATAAAATCTAGGATATAAAAACCCAGATATTAAGCTTTCTTTAAGTACAAAAATTATTCAAATCACTCATAAACATTTCAAGTAACGGCATTTTGATCTTTAACACTATTTTAAAGTTCTGTCCACGGATCACAAAAAAGTAAGTGTTCTTTCAGCAAAACGAAAACAATGCATGTGAATTATTTTCGTTTGCTGAAAGAACGCTTACATTTTTTTTGTGATCCGTGGACAGAACTTAAAGAACGGAGTTTGTGTTCAAAATTCCGTCACTTGGAAAGTACATGAGTGATCTGAATGATTATTGTACTAAAGGAAATTGTATTAATCAGGCGTTCATATCCTAGATTTTGAAAGTACTACAGGCAAAACGTCTTTCAAAACTTGGTCCTGCCATTTGGGTTTCGTTTTTTTGTTTACACACCCTGTACTGAAGATAAACATTCCATACGTTGGTTAACATCACGTGGTCTCACCTACTTTACTTGTTTCTGACCCCATCATGCAGGCATTAAGATATGCCTAGAGCCACGTTTAACGCTTTTGGCTTTTCGTTATATATTTATGCATGAAGCTATAAGAGGGGTCACGACTGTATTTTGTGTTGTTTATACCCCTCTTTCCCAATAGTTCCAGACGGATTGGCACTGGATGTTGAAGCACGCATGATGTACTGGACTGATGGCATCATTGGATACATCGGGCGAGTCCGTATGGACGGCACAGGTGGTAGAGAGACCATTGTGGATGGTTTGGATCAACCAAGAACAATCATAACTGATCATGAAAATGGGTGAGTTTATTTTACTCTGTCAGTCAATGTAGGATAGCTCTTTGGCCAACTTTCTTCATGTTGAGCTCTAACTATGTGTGGAAAGTTATTTTAAAACCAGATACCAAGTCAAATCAAGAACAGTTGCATTTGACATTATGGAGCACACCGGCATCATGAGGGGTAAAATTCAACCACACACTAGATGGACAATCGTGTCCCATATAGTAAGAGGGATTTGTACGAATTATATTCGTTATTAACTTACAGTCTGCTTGGTTGTGCAGTCGCACATTGCACATTGCAACAAACTCTTCAACCGAATAACACCAACCAAAAAAAATATTTGTCCATTGTCTTCATATATTAATAACTTACAATAGCAATCCCCTACTTTTCAAGATTCATCTACTGGACGGACTGGGGAAATTCGTCGAAGATTGAAAGAGCTGACTTTAATGGAAGTAATAGGATGACTCTAGTTTCTGACAACTTAGTTTGGCCCAATGGCGTTGTGATAGATGGTAATGTTAAAATAAATTCCTTTGAAATAAATACTTTGTTATTGTACTTGCTCAATCTATAAACTTTTGAAGGGCAAAATAAGACGGTGGCGAGCAGCGAAATTCCTAAAAAGGGCACCCGTAAAAGGCCGCTGGTAAAAAAATGCACTTGTAAAACGCTGGGGAGAAAAGGTCACTTGTGTAATGCGGGGGGGGGGGGGTAAACACCCCTTACCCTTACCCTTACCCCGCGCTGGCTTCGCCTCTGTACCGTAAATAACGGCTTTGATAACCAGCAAGAAAATATGATTCTTTGCCTTGCCTAGGCGACAAGCTGTACTGGTGTGATGCAAACCTGGACAAGATTGAGAGGAGTGACCTGTTAGGCAACAATCGAGAACTTCTCATTGACCTGACATCATACACGAATATCCATCCCTTCGATTTGGCTGTCTACGGCGACTACGTCTATTGGACTGACTGGGGCTACGTAACCCTCATCCGCGTCCACACATCCGGTGTGGGCGCGCAAAATTACGGTCCACATACTTTTCAGCGAAGTGGTGGTCTTCATATTGAAAAAGGTTCGTGGTCTTTATAAACAGCACTAGGCGAACGGCGGGTCGTGGCCCAAGGGCTTTTGTTTTTAACAGGCGCGGATCCGGGGGTGTCATAGACATGTAGATTTTCATAGAAATTAATTACAAATATTGCAATCCCCCATGCTTTGACACCCCAAAATAATTATGCTGGTCACAATGTCCGGCTGTGCGAAAAATACGAACAGAGCCAGCTTGGTTGAGGGGCGAATTCTGTCATATTCTGTTATATACACTATTCTGTAACATATTGTTAATAATCGTCGGATTTGAACACCGCCCCAACCCATCCACCTATTGATTTTACGGAGTGTCCGGACAAAAAAATACTGTCTACATTTCAGCATTGATTTCTGATGACACCCCACCCCCACACGCACACACCCCCACACAACCTACCAAAAATCCTGGATCTGCCCCTGTTTTAATTTCAAGAGCCGATTACGCATGAGATTAATAATAGACTTTGAAGTATCTAGATATAGAACCACGAACAATGTAATTTTATATTTTAAAGACGCACATTTCACTTCATACATGCCGTGGCAGAGCATGCCATGGCTTAGGCCAAAAAAAAAAGTCTCCGGTTTCTGGTATGCGCGCGCGTCGCTGTAGCCATGTGCGTCGGCAAAATGAAAAAGTTTTTTTTTTCAATGGAAGATGATGTCTCAAAACCGCCAAATTCACAGGTTTGACTGGAATCCTGCTGCTGCACAATTTTAACGTGTTTTTAGATGGGGTTATGATCGAGAATAAGCTTTACGTGGCTTCGCTGGACTCCCATATATTTGCACTAAGTCTAGTCGGGCACCATTTGCAGTCATCAGCCGACATTTGAAGCAAAAAAAATCAGGAAAAAAAAAAAAAAGCCGCGTCGCCGCACCACTTTTTGGGCAAGCTCCATACCAGAACCCTTAGGGGCTGTCATTGGAAAGGCCCTGTCACCAAGTGTTGGCGACATTTTACCGCTAGAGTAATCAAACAATACATTATAATGCTGTTGGACATCTTTGCAGAGCCCAGTTATTGCGACAGTACTCCTTGCCACAACGGAGCCACCTGTGTCAATGTAATCAATGGATTCTCCTGTATCTGCCCTGCAAGTTACCAAGGAATAACCTGTTTTGAAGGTAGCGTTTTTGTTGTATTTGAATTGTTTCTCTCAGTGGTTTATTCTTGTTCTACCGTAACACGTGCAGTAGCTTACCATAACGGTATCACCTTATTATGAATGCTGCCATTAGTTGGTAAAGTACCGATCCAACGATCTCAAATGCAAATTTCTGCGGTTTCTTTTATAAAACAATATACACGTGTTTCCTTTTTTTCGTGGAGAATCAACATAAAACCAGCTAAGATACACTTCAACAGAAAAGAATGGCATTTTGGATAATCATTGCATGAGCAAGCTTGATTTGTCAGTTGGCCAAGAGACTGAGGTACAATGGTTGAGCAATACAAACGAACAAGTAAAAAACACTTATAAAGATATGTATTGTCCTGAATTATAAAAAGCAAATTTAATTTCGGGCATTTGGAACTTTTGTAATATAGTTGTGTGGTTGACCTTTGTGGACGTAACTGCTGTCACATTAACACGCCATTAATGAAATGGTTCACACAATAAAACATCATGGTATCTTAACAGAAGCATTGTTTCCTGTGTGTTTAGATCCCTGTGGTAGTGGACCGTGTGCAAACGGGGCAACTTGCACCATCTTGCCTACCAGCGGGTTCAACTGTCAGTGCCCATCTGGTTACGCTGGACCAACTTGCATGATAGGTGAGAACGTACTTGTCAAATACTACTTGAAAACTGTGTCAATAGATTTCAGAGGGGAAGACTCTTTTTAAAGAATGATAAACTCTTATATTGTCCGATTCTGATATGAGACATTCTCTGCTGCTTGAGGGTTACAGTTACAGCACAATATGGCTTTATATGCAGCGGTAAAGCCATAGATGAACCTCCCTTTGCTTGAACAGGTACTGGTAATTACATGCAGCTAATTTATTCTTTAAAAATAATCATATCTTTACCAGTTGTTCACTGCGTGGTCTCCCTTGACCCATCCGATGTCCTCATGGTGACATCAGGCCAGCAGGATGTTTACCTTCCCGGTGAATCGGTTGTGTTTTCGTGTCCAGACGGATATCTTTTATATCTTTATCTGACTTCTGACTTACTCGCGATTAATTCTTGTCAATTTCAGTGATCATTGCTGTCGTACATACAAAGTGTCCGTTGTTATTCTGGAGACATGTTGGCAGTATTCATGATTGCTATTGCTACATTAATCCGGACATGATTTATCATTGCATTCACAATTAAAGTACATTCTGTATCGGATTGAAGGTTCTAATCACCTCTTCCGATATTTTATGAACAATAGTCTCGTTCTTGCATCCTCTCTGTTGTGATACGCTCCAACTAATTATGCCTGCACTTTGATATCTGTAAACCATGCTCTTACGCTTCTTGTTGGATCTGCTCTTTTTGATTTTGTTGAACTGTTTAGTAACGGCCTGACATGAAAGTCGATGCTTAATTATGTACTTTCTTTTCTTGTTTCTCTTTCTACAATCGATTTTGCCTCTTTTTCATCTCTTCCCTCATCTTTCTGTCAGCGCTTTTTAAAAATGAAGTGTTTGTAATGACGCTTTTGACTGTTTTGCTCGTATGTGACCGAGATTATTAACTTTGCCTCAGGTGTTTGGGAACAGTCGTGCATGTCCACTGTCATCATGTTTACTGATAAGGGATGATACCTCTTGGTCTCTTTTCAGAGAAGAGCTACGTATCCGCCATCGCCGGTGGAGGTTGCGGACTTGCCTTTCTCATACTGGTCCTTTTTGGTGTTTTCGTCGTAAGGTAAAAACAAATCGTTTTTCGTCACCCCAAGTGTACCTTCATTGTGAACATTCTCAAAATACTGTATTTGCTTTCATCCCGAGCTCTCAACATAGACTCTTTTGTCACCTAAATGTGATTTTTGTTTTGTTAAACAAACAGGAGGCGAATTCAAAATGGAGGCAGAACTGTACAAGTTCCATTTAATATGGACTTGAATGTTGAAGGCAAAACCAACGATGGAGAAGCACAGCAGGGATTGAACAATCCCACCCACCAACACGAAACCTCGGTGCGTCAATCCTGGCAGGCCCTTGGACATCCTCCTCCACCGCCACACGTGTCTGCTCCCGATCCTATCTATATGGACATGAACCGTTCAGTTCCTTAAGTATGCATCGCTGTACGTTGAGTATGTTTAATATTGCGGCCTTCTGTTTCCCATGTATTCATTTATTTTCAAGTTCAAAGTTAAATAATTCCAGTGTCGTGATTTTGTTCGTGATGGTATAAACTGGTCAAAACAAAACTTTCCACACAGTGTGCAGTCGGGCTCAATTTATGGACTATTAATCTTCGCCATAGAAATGTTCATGGATTTTGTTTTCACATTCTCCCACTAAATTGATCTTTTATTTTCATTTCCTTTTCTATGTATTTTATGTCCGACTTGGGAAGTTAACATGTTAATGAAGCTCATCTGAGGGTCGGGCTTGCTTTAATTTGATAAGGTTATGTGATTAAGGTAATGTGTTATAGTCCGATCGATTTATTTAATAGTGAGGTTGGAGATGCGGTGGATGACTCGGCGTGTGAAAGGTTATGACTGTTTTGAAAGTTTCTTATCTTGGTAAAGTTTTACCAAGAGAAATCACACCTTTTTACACAAAATAGTCATTGTACAAATTTTAACATGCACGGGCAGATTTAAACTGTACCTTTATGCAAATATTTACTCGGAAAGAAATTTTAAAAACTTACGGCAAAATGTTCGTGTTATATTTACAAAGCTTTTTAACTTTCCGCTTGTATGCCTATATATGATTGTATGCCTATATATGATTGCATTGCACATGACTGCACTTTATCATTAGGTGTTTTAGCATAGTTAGCTGACACTGTAGTATTTTAGCAAAGATGATAAAAAATATTCGTGGTAGCCTCCTACTCAGTGTTAACACATAGCTATATGAAGAGTGAAGAGTTGTTTGCATCACTTCAGTGTGCGAGTCCCTGCGTGGCAGCCGTGCTGAATCATGCATTATTACATAGATCATGTGCCCTGTGACGTCATTCCGACAGACAACCGCCGGGCAACCCAACCGTTATACACGCAACTTTTAAATGTTATTTGGGCCATATTAAACAGTATGATGTCAACATACTTATTTTTAACCTCATTATATTGCAAGAGACTTCTAAAACTAGAACCGTTTACTGAAAGATGGTTTACTTGACGATACGACATCCAATTTTGTAAACAAACGTCACATGTGTAATACATGCGTGCTCCACTAATGTATTGCCTGTGCATGCATATGGAAAACTTGTAATTATGTTCATGCACATATTGTGTTTACTGCTCATCATGTTAAAATTACTAAAGAAAAGTGTTAACTTCATGGGGGAAGCGCCCCTCCCCCCACCGATTCGCCCATGCCTAGTCGAAACGGCATATTTTCAGACACTAACAGTTCGATAGGTCAATAATTTACATGAACAGTAGAATTCATGGGTAAACAGTAAAACTTGAAACGTTGGAAGCCATAGGCGTCGCCAGGAATTTTTCCCGGGGGGGGGGGGGGGCAAAAGCCAATATTTCCCCAAAATTCCTTAACTTTTTCATTATATTCTCAATTTATCATTTTTTTCGAGCGTGAGAAGAAAGGCATTTGCCCTACCCACCCCCCCCCCCATCATATTAACAACAATATGGCTTCGCACCTATTTTTACGTGTTTTTTTCCCTTTTCTTCCCTTTTTTTTTGGGGGGGGGGGGGTTCGTTGGGGGGGGAAGCCCCCTTGCGCCCCCCCCCCCCCTTGCGACGTCCATGTTGGAGGCAAGCAAAACCTTCCCAGTCTGTCACAAAGCCCGTGACACATTGTGTTGAAATACTGTGTTTACATGTACAGGGTGAGTAAAAAAAACCCAACGAATCCCAAATGTCGGGACTATTAATTTAGTGAAGTTCTGCATGAAGCCCCTTCAAAATCCAGGATATGAACGACCAATTCATAAGCTTTCTGTTAGTATAAGAATCATTCAAATCACTTATGTAATTTTGAAGTTACGAAATTTTAAACACAACCACCGTTTTAAAGTTCTGTCCACGGATCCCAAATAAAAACACGAAAACAAATCACATGTGTGTGAATTGTTTTCGTTTTGCTGAAAGAACGCACACATTTTTGGGGATCCGTAGACAGAACATTAAAACGGTGGTTGTGTTTAAAATTCCGTAACGTGACACGTACCGATTCATTGTATAGACGGATTTCAAGTATTTTTCCAAGCAAGCAAAAATGTATCCCACCTATGCATTTACATTCTCCATTCAACCTCCTGCATGACAAGTTTGATACGTACTTTTGTTTTTTTGTATTGTTGTATGTATTATTCTCAAAAAGCTGTTATTGACTGTAAATGACTATTATTTTTTATATAAGAGGCAAGTTCCCTCTTTCCATGCCAAAATTCGAAGTTATTTGGACAATTTTGAAATATTCTGATTGAATATAGAATAGTTTTGGTTTGATTAACAACTATATAAATGCTATATGATATTACACCTTAAAATAAATCGATGTATACACTTTTGCAAAGTGGTTTTCTTATTTTCATCTCGAAGTTTATTACTTAATTTTGAAAAATAAAAGAGGGAAAATAATCGGAATATACTACAGGGTGAGTCAAAAAAAGCAGAACCCAAACCCCCAAAAATATATTCCATACTTTTAAAAAATATATACCACCACAAATAATAATGACTGGAAAGCCAATTTCATAAGCCACCTTTTGATGATAAAAATTACTAAGATTGCTCAATCCGTTCAAAGAAACTCACCATTTAAACCGCAATGACCCTAAAACCTGTTGGGTATTGTGTATTCTGACTCTTAGGAACAACCAAGAAAATAACACCGAACACTTGTTTTAACAACTGTCAACAACTGTAGTACACAATATCTTTATTCACAACCCTGGTTAGGAAAACAATATGATTTATAAAATCCATTTTTTTTTAAGACGGGCCTTCAAAAGGACTTTGTTGAAAATGTTTAAGTTTTAAACTGAGTTTTTATCGTTAATGATGTTTGAGACAATTGTGACGACAATTCATAAAATCACATTTTTGGACGAAAGAGGTTTTAGGGTCATTGTGTTTAAACGGTGATATTCTTTGAACGGATTGAGCAATTTCAGTAATTGTTTTCATCTAAAGTTAGCTTATGAAATTGGCTTTCTGAGTCATTATCATTTTTGGTGCTATATTTTGTTACATGAAATATTATTGTGGGTTTGGGTTCCGGTGTTTTTTTGGACACACCCTGTATGAAGACGACTTTCAAAAGTCCTGATAAGTGAAAGAAAGAAATGGATCTCTTCAATAATTTTATCACCAGAATTATGCAGCACAGGTTCAACATCGCGAACAATGCTGTGTTCATGCCGTTTTACGTAAATATTTAAAGCAGTCCCCTACTTCCCATTTCATAATCTCTAGCGAGAGAATCATCAAAGAAACCCACTCCACAGAAAAACCAGAAACGAATCCGTTTTGACCCCTGGATGACAGCATTTTTCTACAATTTCCTCTTGTAGGTCATTTTATTGTTTATGACAACGCGTTCATGGTGAGAAATTGTAAAACAAAAGGGATGGGACTTTTTTGTTACGGCAGAGTAATTTCTATATTTAGTCCAAAGATGACATCGGGTCATACGAAACTATTTCATTTGATATGGTTTCCATTACAATGATAACACTCCGGCTCGTGGCCAGGAAATTTTGGAAAATTTAAATTATCAAATGAAACATTCAAACAAAAGTTAAAGTAGACTGACGTCGAATTTGGCGTTGGTCTTTCGAGCCCCCCCCCCCCACCCCCGCTAGGGTCCCGTGCCTGTATTATTATCTTAACCCAATTCATATCAGTATTGAGGCTAAGTGGGGTTATTTTTTTTTCTTCTATACTTCATAATGTGAAAATGTTGTTTTATCACTGTTATGGTTAAAACTAGATCCTTTGTATTTTTTGTTATTCTTAAATTTAAAACAAAACAGGAGACTTTTAACAATAACAATGGCGAAGTGACCATATCTCGAATCCCGAAACAAAAGTTTCGAATTTCGGCCTGCATAAAGGAACTTGCCGTGAGAAATATTCCTTCGTCGTCAGTAATTATATAGGGAGTGCAGCGTTAGATTTCTGACACGAAACACCTGTTTCATTCTTGAAATAAACGATTTGATTGAAAAATCAACGTGATTGATGGCTTCGCTATCCCAAATTTGAAAGTCACTGTTACACGGCGCACGCGCATTTCTCATCTCGCAAAGAGAACTTATTATGTAAAATGCGTAACACTGTGGTTAGCCTGCTACTTTCGCAAACTTTCACTGACAGGATTGGAGCATTACATCAAAAAGGAGTGCAGCACCAACGACCACGTAAGTGAATTTTTTTATTGCGTATTTGTTAAAAACCTTCTAACGATTTTCAATACTAAATCACGCTTACAGAACTTTGATTCTTTGTTTGAGATTTTTCTATTTTAAGACCAATATGTGAAATCCACTCAAACGTTGAAATTGTAGCAGGCTGTACAGGGGAAGGTACTACGTGTCAAAACTGCATGGCCGAATTTTGATTCGAAATAACTCTGTTGTTTACCAATGAAATCAAACCATCATTTTAGATCATGTAAACAAGGCATAACAAATGTTATGGAGCAATTTTCATCAGCTCTGGGTGATATGTAACGCCAAACGAAAAAAATACTCACTTTCAGAATGTCGATACAGTAATGGAGACGGTTATATGTTTGTTGCTTGTTATTGTATTTATTGTATAGTGATTAAATATTTGTGACTGGAATTGACTCGAGCTAAATAGTTGACTCGACTCGACTCGACTCGACCACACACTGCGACTCGACTCGACTCGACTCGACCTTGTTGACCTAATGACTCGACTCGACTCGAGTCACTTCTTTAAAATGACTCGACTCAACTCGAGTCACAAAAATCAGTGACTCGTTACAACTCTGGAGGAGCGTGCTGCACCCAAAGCTTCCGAAGGAAGCAGGATCACCCATGGTGTCACTGCACACCTCCTTTATCACGAGTTAAGCCAAATGATCGAGGAGGTGTGCAATGACATCATGGGTGATCCTGCATTCCTGGAGGACGTTAAGTCGAAAGTGGTAGATTGTGTAAGTAAGTATGATGAAACTCGCTCCCCAAAGTTGTCACGCCTTGTTTACAGGATCTGAAATTTTGGTGTAATTCCACTTGTAAACAACCGAGTTATTTAGCATCAAAAGTGTATAGGACATTTCTCTTGACACGTAGTGCAAATTCATCCACTGACTTTGTTCCGCCTTAGTGCTTTAGACCAATCAATCATCAAGTGATTCAGCTCACGTTTACTTCTCTCTAAGCACAGACATTTTAAAAAGGTTATTTTGTGTACTGATTTTAATTCTTTGAACCGCGATAGATCTAGCGGCTTAACCTAAAAAGCTAATTGACTGAATTTCGGTGTTCACCGAGAACGAAGAACAATGTTAATGTCTGTTCCAAGGACAATCAATACAATGTGCATATGTATCTTCACTGCTACGTAAAAACAACAAAAAGATGGACGAATACAATTAACATATGTGTAAACAACCCGTAATGTTCAATCGTTAGCGGAAAGTGTGGTATATAGTCCTCACCTCATAATTATTTCGCTGCATATCAATAATCGTTGCTTCCCCCTCACCCAACAACAGACCACCCTTATCAAACTTAGTTGCAAATATGTCAACTACTCTATGACGGAAAAATCCAGAAAATAACCTCGTTAAAACATGTGATCTTCCGCATTGTTCATGCGGTGAGGACTTACATGTACTAGTGAATCTTAGTTTGAGTACAGGAAGTCCCCATGCAGATATGTTGAAGGGGCATATTACATGGTTATCAACGGAAATCATAACATAATATATTTCCGGGTTAAGTTTCCGCTATGTGTTTTTCCTATTCACAAATGGCTCGAACACATTTTGAGAGAATTAAGGAGGAATGTTCATCATGCATAATTTTTTTTATCAAAATGCATTTTTTTTTTCCTGTAGTGTACACTAAGTTGTCAAAGCACCATGGATATGATGAAGTTTTTGCTGACGCTTGTTCTGATGATGGATATGTCCTTCCGATTCGCAGACGCGGGTGAGCATGTTTATTTCTCATATATCTTTGTTGTTGTTCGATATTAATCAACCAACTTAAGCAGATGAAAGTATTTTGTCCGTCTCAGAGACTGTCTATGTTCAGGTATAAGCTCGGCTCGGTTTGGCGCTGATCAAATCGACTTTCGGTTAGGTCAGGCGTTTTATTTTCATTATTTTCATTCAGGTAAATAAAATGAAAGGTTAAGTCGCAGCTTTTATGCGTTGATGGGACTTTTTCTCGATTAGTTTATTCTTTATTGTTTTCAATACCGAAAAAACGATTCCTGCTTGATACGCAAAATACTACATTTATGAGTCACAGTTGGAAAAAAATAATAATAAATTCACAAAAACAAAACGTTTACTCAAAATAGTAATTGAACAAATACAGGGTGAGTAAAACAAAGCGGAACCCGAACCCCAAAACTACATTTCATATTTAAATGAATATATAGCAACAAAAATAATAATGACTTGAATCATTTCAACGCAGTCACCCTTAAACCTCTTCCGTCAAAAAAGGGCAATTTATTGTGTATTCTGACAAAGAGAATGAAACAGAACACTTGTTTCAACAAATGTCAACTGTAGTACACAATATCTTTATTAACAACCCTGGTTGACGAACAATATGATCCACAAATCCACTTTTTTAAAGACGAGCCTTCAAAAGGACTTTGTTCAATATTTTTAACTTTTAAACTGAGGTTTCTAGCGCTGGTGATGTTTGAAGACAAGTGTGACGACGATTCTAGAAATCACCTTTGTCGGACGAAAGAGGTTTTAGAGCCATTGTGATATTCTTTGAACGTCTTGAGCAATTTCAGTATTTTTTTCATCTAAAGGTAGCTCATGTAATTGGCTGCCCAGTCTTTATTATTTTTTTGGTGCTACATATTTTTCTAAATATGAAATATCATTTCGGGGGTTCGGGTTCCGCTTTGTTGACTCTCCCTGTACTTAATTGGCTGCATGTTGTGAATTTAAGAGGATACGATTCCTCTTCGATAACGCAGGTGATTTTGCACTCCTTGTTGACATTGCCAATGCCACCATCTACGCGGGTAGCATGAGCCAGAGGCTGGCAGACGCGGAGGCCCTGCCACTCAGCGGTTTAGTCAGCCCCGTAGCCGTGGACTACGATCCGGTAGAGAAGATGGTGTACTGGACTGACAGGGGCAGCCAACCAACTCACAAGATCTCACGAGCGCGCCTTGATGGCAGCAACCAAATGATAGTTGTAGATGATCTTCGTAGTAAGTTTGAACAGCTTTTTTTCCCCAAGAACAAAGACCATTCATATCGGAGATTATTAACCAGTGAAATATTCATTAAAAGCTGGAAAATCTACCATTGTCATTTCCCCCAATAATTTTCAAATTGTTGATTACAATCTAGTGGTGGTCGAGTGGTAATACGTCCGTATGGTTTATAAGCAGGAGGTCGTGGTTCGAGTCCAACTAAAGTACTCTGTGGATTATTATCACTTCGGCCAACACTAAGTATACAGTGTTTATGAAATACCTCGAGGAAGGGTAAAACCCAATATTGATTCTAACTCAGGGGCGGCGGAACCGGGGCTGGGGGCACCCCCACCCCCGATTAAACAAGTGCCTCTTTGCGGACATAATTGTGCCCCCCTCGAGCATAAATGTGCCCCCTCCAGATGAAAACAAAACTGCCCCTAAAAGTTTCGGATAATTTGTTTTCAGTAACGTTTTCTCAAAATGGAATAGAGAATTCTGATATGAACGAGGAATATAAAAACCAAGCCCCAAACCCTTACAATGCGCCCTGAAAACGGGGACATAATGCGTAGTTTGCATAATGGCCGGTTTTGAAGAGCGCACCCTTTTTTTGACAGATGGTACCAGCCTCCCCTCCCCCCCCCCCACCACACACACACACACACACATACGCATAGACACATTCTAGAATTACTACACTCCCGAGGAAAAATGTCTTGTGTTTCCTTTTGTCCCTTTAATAAAACACGCTTCCATATAAACTAAGCACACGAACCTTCTACAGAGTACCATTTTGAACAAAAGACCCAACGCCCGAGGACTGAAAGTATCCTTTCTTCTTCCTTAGTGTGTCTGTCCTCGGGGCTTATATGTAGAACACATACACCTGCACCCACTTGATTTTACGGAGGCCAAGTGTCCGATGAAAAAAACGTGGCGACCTTTCAGTACGATCGATGCGCAAAATAAAATAATGCTGAGCAAGTGCCCCCTTTTGGTGACCCCCCCCCCCCCCCCCCCAGTTTGAAAATTGCTCCGCCGCCGCTGTTCTAACTTTACTCTGCTAGCTCATTAGGTTTGATGGGTTATGGTGTATTATACAACACCTGAATAAATCCCCGTCATCTGATTGGTGAATTGTAGATCACGTGACATATTATTATTCGGTATAATGCACGGTGCGACCATGCGTTATACCCATGCGTTATACCGTTTCACTTTGCGCTTGTTCCATGACGCGGTATTTGCGTGCAAAATGCATGCTGGTGTGCGCGTTCAGCGTAGCGCGTATTGTTCCAAAGAGCCAGCCTTACAGCGTTGGGTTCAAACATTTTCGTGAAGGGGTAGTTCAACATCTTTAAAATCAATGCAAATTGTAGTTTATAATTTACCAATCAAATGACGAGAATTTATTCAGGTGTTGTATAAAACAAATAACGAATGTTTTACGTTCGTGCGATGGAAAGAATAATTTCATTCGGTGACAGATTGAATGTTCTATTCCACTCGGCTTCGCCTCGTGGAATAGAACATTCAATCTGTCACCTCATGAAATTATTCTTACCATCGCACTCACAAACATTCGTTATTTGTATACTATATATGTACATGTAGGTTGGTTATACATTACGTCAGTTCGATGCAGGTTTAAGGGCCCTGTCACACTTCTGCGTATCCTAATTCCTTATGAGTTGCGCATGGACTTTTTTCATACGCAGTAGTACGCACAATACGCACATCATATGCATCTCTATCGTTTTATGTAAGTTTTATGTACGCAGGCATACGCATTTTACGGCCCAGTACGCTGGATAGTTTTGGGCATGCACAAAACTACGCTGCGTACGCTGTTACGCAGGTCATAAGTTATAAATACGCAACGCATCGGTCCCGCATCGGTCGAGCGCGGTACGAGTACGCTATGTGATCGTGAGGGATAAGCCGTTCATACGCGGCAATACGCTGACCTCCTATATTGGACGTATACATAGCGACGTATTGTACGAATTAGTACCGCTCGTCCTGCGAGCGGGCAGCGCATTGTACTTATTCGTAACTTATGAGAAACGCACAGATGGCGAACTTGCGCACAGCATACGCAACTCATACGCAGTGGATGCGCTGAATTCGTTACTTGTTCGCTAGATGTGCGTCGCACATATGTCAAAGTAATCAAAAAATGTCGACGTTTTTGATCGAACGGCTGCGTATTGAAAATTGTTGATAAGGAACTCATAAGGAAATGGGATACGCAAAAGTGTGACAGGGGCTTAACTGGTTGGCTTAACGGCAGTCTCAGCTGACGGTTGTATCAACTCGTCAGTCCGTCAGAGTTTCCTTAACTTCTAATTAGTGTCTGTGAAAGTCTGACGTGTAATCTTTCTGACGTGTAATCCTTCACGCAGCACCACTGGGAATGTCTCTGGATGTGGAATCTAGAATGCTGTACTGGTCAGATTTTGCTTTGAAACACATCGGCCGTGCCCGAATGGACGGGACTGGGAGCAAGGAGATTATTGTTGACAGTCTGGACAGTCCTCAAACCGTAGTTGTTGATCACGACAATGGGTGAGCAATTTTGTCGCGTCTGTCCTTCGTATAGTAACTGATTGTCAAATTAGATAACTGATCATTTGATAAATCAACTAATAAAACACAGGGGAACTGACTCGATACACCTTTAATCCGGATGCCTCTCCAGTAAATCTCTATGTGCATCTTTAATTTGATATTGACATAGGCCTAAATCTAAGAAATTCAAGATGACCTTTCCTGATTCTAAATAGATTGTTTGTTTCCAGAGATTATAAATTGTTATTCAAAAATACAATTACTCAAAATTAAAGTGACATGAATCGACAATGTCGTGCTAGTAAATTTACATATACACATGCACGGTACCATTTTCATTGCACGTATTTCTCCGTTCAGACACATTTACTGGACGGACTGGGGGCTTTCTCGGATTGAGAGAGCCAACCTGGATGGAAGCAGTCGACAGATAATCATTGAAACTGACTTGGGCATTCCGCACGGTGTCGCGATTTACGGCAAGTAATCATGAAAAGTATATTAACAGAATTTCGCCAGATTCTTGCTCACAGCCACAATAAACGATTATTGAAATGTTACATACTCTCAATAATACAAATTGGACGATCCAATTCAATCCAATCCAATCAAAAAGTAACTCACAAATAAAGGGATAACTTGACCAAGCTTTGAACTCTGTTACCAACTTGGCCCACCTGGCAGCACTTTTTGATGTTTGTTTTTTAAGACGGTTTTAAGACCGTCCGGACGACGATACAGTCAAGTCCATGGGCGTCGCCAGGATTTTTTCTAGAGCCGGCAAAACAATTTTTTTTTGCCAAAAAAATGCTCGTATTTCTCAACACATTCTCGATTTATCAGTTTTAGAGGGGGGCAGGGACATTTTGCCCCCCCCCAAACTCATTAAATTTACACCACTTTGTCTTCGCGCCTCTTTTTCTTTTCTTTTTTTTTTTTTTTTTCTTCCTTTTTTTGGGTTGCTTTTCCAGGGGGGGGGGGGGGGAGTGCCCCCTTGCCCCCCCCCCCATACCCCCCCGGGCATAACAATATGGATACGCTACTGGGGCTGGGGCATTACCTTGTGCCCACCAAAACTGGCCGGAAGGTACCATTTCCTTGACTTTCAAAATACAACTAGAGTTGCAGCTCAACATCATTAATTGACAGAAAGTTCTGGTTTGTTCATGTTTCATGAAGTTAAATGTGTCTTGGACGGTGGCCCTACTTGTCTTATTTCTGGAAATGCGCAAAATGTTTTACACCAAACTGTCCCAAGAGGGTTTTCATATACCATGTTCAAGACAATGGAGCTATTAGTGATGCATGAGCAGAGGAATGCAATCTAGAGGTAATGGCGGATCCAGAACACAATATTTTTTGGGGGGGGGCAAAACAATTCGCCCCCCAAAAAGTGGGTCCAAAAAATGACGGCGTGGGGTTCGGGGCCCGCTTAAGGGCCCACATTTTTTTTTATTTGATTCTAGATGCTCTGTGGTGCGATCTGAGGCAATTGCTGACCACTTTGACCAATGTTATTTGAGGAAAAGATGATTGTATACCTATTACCTGCTTTTATTGCGACGTCACTTAAACAAAAATGGTGTTTTTTTGGGTGGGCAAGGGGCCATGGGGGAGGGGGGCATGGGCCCCTTCACCCACCCACCCACCCCTGTGATCCGCCCTTGTATAAAGGTACTATTGGAAAGCTTACTGCACCTTGTTTAGGCCAAAAAAAAATCGTCTCCGGTTTCTGGTATGCGCGCGTCGCCGTAGCCATGCGCGTCGGCATGAAAGATGATTTCTCAAAACCGCCAAACTCACTGGTTTGACTGGAATCCTGCTACTGCACAATTTTAACGTGTTTTTAGATGGGGTTTTGATCGAGAACAAGCTTTATGTGGCCTCTCTGGACTCCCATATATTTGCACTAAGTTTAGTCGGGCACCATTTGCAGTCATCAGCCGACATTTGAAGCAAAAAAGTCAGGTAAAAAAAAAAAAAAGCCGCGTCGCCGCACCACTTTTTGGACAAGCTCCATACCAGAAACCGGAGACTTATTTTTTTTGGCCTTATGATTAATCCATAGTATTTGTCAATACGTTCATGGCTTAATCGTATTATCCCTTTATTTGTGGGTTACCTTTTGGGGGGAGGGGCACCCTGTATACATTGTTAGCCTCTTCTTTGAGAGTAAATTGCTGAAATCGTCGGTCTTCTTTTAAAGCTCTATAATAATTTTGTTTCATTTCGCAGCATTTTAAATGACTAGGAAGGCCAGCTGGATTTGGACTAATTGTGCCAATTGTCTACTCAGAATACCATCCCAATTGGGCCAGAGCACATTGCATTTTAGCATTATCATTGTGCTATAATATATATTTTTACGATAGGAAATCATTTGTATTGGTGCGATGCCTTTCTGGACAAAATCGAGCGCAGTGACCTTCGGGGTAACAACAGGGAGCTTGTGTTGAACACAACTAACCTCCTCCAAATCCATCCTTTCGATTTGGCCGTGTACCAAGACAACGTGTATTGGACAGACTGGCGTTACACAGCCGTCATTCGTGTCCACGTGAACGGCAGGGGCTTAGATATATTCGGTCCAGCGTTGTTGCAGTTGGCTGGGGGAATTCATATCCAAGAAGGTTTGATGTCCTTTTTATTTTTGTTTAGTAATTCAAATATGTCTTCAGACTTTTTAATATGCCGCGAATACTTCCTCCCCCCCCCCATTTGTTTGTATTCCTCGCAAAGAAGGAAAGATCAAACTTGAGCTGAGGAATCACCTAACGTTTTCTCTCCGGAATCGTGTCGTGCGCAATTGAAACATTTCCTTCTTTTTCTCAAGGTACATTCTGTCAATAACTGATTTTAAGCCCTGCCTTTAAATGTGTGCCTGCCCTCAATGACATTCTGTTTTCAAAACCTGATGAGATCTGTGAGAAAAATATGTGTTTCTTTGCAGAGCCTGATTTTTGTGATAGTTCCCCTTGCAACCACGGAGAGACCTGCATGGACGTTGTCAACGGATTTACTTGTCTGTGCCCTTCTGGGTCCCCTGCATGTTCAAGTTCTGGCGGTACTACAATTTGCGTCTTTATTCTAAAGAAAATGCCGCTGTGTCAGAATAAATAGAAACCGTTTTAAAAAGGCAGTTTATGTTAAACCCGCTAATCATGCTAACCTACGAAAGCCCGTTAGTGCCAACATTTTTTTTGTTTTTTTATTTTTTTTTTGTTTTTTTGGAAGATTTTTTGTTGGGGGGGGGGTTTAGGGGGGAAAGGGTTTTTTTTAACTTTACGATACTCGGGAAACTTTTGGTACGCGGACATTGCCGTACTTCATGTCCATTATGTACCAGAACGATTTCAGGCCATAGCCGAAGTGCCGTTTCTTGGTCCATTGTTTCATAAAGACCGCGCAGTCTATTTTTGGTAACTTTTGGAGATGTTTTTTTTTTTTTGAATGGGGGGGGGCGCCTGGGGGCGACGAGTTTTGAAAGAGGCCGCCATGTCCCCCCCCCCCATCCCCTTGGCTTCGCCGCTGTACATGCCACCTTTTAAGATGGCTTCTGAATGCATCGATCTATACTGAGCAGTTAACGTAACATGTTGTAATGAATGTCTTCCTTTAACTGCGGTCCAGACCTCTGTGACAGTGGACCGTGTGTTAACGAGGGAACTTGCATTGATGTACCCGGCGGATTTACCTGTCAGTGCCCGGCTGGCTACGACGGACCAACATGTGACAGCGGTAAAGTTTCACGTGATAATTGTACATTCCCGAGGCCCCCTTCAATGGAGAAACCATTATGAACGCTATTGTTCAACGCAACTGCCCTGAGACAGATTATCTGAACAAAAGCAAAATGCTTTCGCCATTGAAGGGGGCATTCGTGATGAAACTGACGCATTGGCGGATCAGAGGGGGAGGGGCCAACGGGGGCCATCTCCCCTCCCCCAACCCCAACCCACCGGTCTCAACGATTTTTTTGGTATCGGAGGAATGAAAACACATGTTGTCTTAAATTTTCAGGAAACAAATTAAAACGTTGCGTATCTTCATTGCATGTTTAACCATCAGCTACACATACTTTTTTGTTTTAATGTTACCATGTGGAAATGGCGCATGATGCTAGTCATACTAATTCCCTTTGTTTTGAACAAATTCTCATCTTAATTTTGTTCCCTTCCATTGGAACAGTTGTTCACTGTTTACTTGCCAATGACCCATCTGATGTTCTGATTGTGGTATCGGGTGAGCAGGCTGTATACCTACCTGGTGACTTGATTGAGTATGGTTGCCCTGACGGATATCACCTCAGCGGGTCCGCCACTAGATATTGCCGGTCAGACTTCTCGTGGTCTGGGCATGAGCCTCAATGCATCATGGAAGATCGGACCTCCAGTAAGTTTATCATTTACAAGAAACACATATTTCAAAAAGATTGATCTGATACACCGTGCCCTCTGGAGACATGCACACAATAGGGATAAAAGGTTGTACACGTCTCTACAGGGCATTTTCGTTTTCACGAAAAAGATATATGGATTTTACTCAAAAACTAGGAATTTTCAAGGTATGTTGATTGGTCGCAAATGGTAGAGTTTTAGAAAAGAGATATTAAGTACGAATTTTAGCCAAGGAAATTCATTCTGGTTAAAATAAGGGCATTTTGAAACTGTACTTTCAAACTCGAAAACTTTAGTACATGAGAACAAAGAAATGTCTCCACAAGGACACAAACTTCAGTATACATGTTTATACTGTGTATTCCAGAATACAGATCAAACGGTGTGACAGAAAACTGGTTACTGGTTTGTCGTTACTTCTTACATTATTAGATGATTCACTAATGAAAGTTTATATTTTGGTCAACTGTTGTGTGAATACATGTATTCATATCAAGCTTCCCATATTGATATAACCAGTAGGCAAAATCGCCAGTGTCTCCACAAAAGCAACTTTCAAGCATCTCAACTGCATAGGTTTCAAATACTGAAAAGTAGTGCCCCTCTCTTTGTTGGTAGTTGCCAGAGGCACTTGCGAATTCAGCGAAAAATTGAATCTTATCACAACAAAAACTGCACATTAGTGGTAGCCTTGCACTGGTAGGCTGCTTTCGTGCTTACGTTATTGTTGTGATTATGTATTCAGGGGCGGGACTCAGACCTTTGGCCACCTCTGGCATATAATTTGCATACATTAGGATGAAATCCCCCGAATGCATTCCTCATATATTACCCGCTACTTGTCCAAAGGACAATGGAGGGACAGAGAACCATGCAGGCTAATGATGTTGTTTTGCTAGAAATAGGACTTGAAACATTAGGGACACATTCAAATGTCTCCCTAATCTACCTTGTCTCCCTACGGCATAACTGTGATAATAACGTGTCTCTTTGAGGGTAAATTCCTTTAGAAAATGCAGTCCAACACCTTAATCATGTAAGGAAAATTGTGTTTTAAAGCCTTTTTAATTAATTTCGGAAACTGCTAGGTTTGCGCTCACACCATTATGTCATATCATATGAGAGATTTTGTTTCATTTTACCATATTTTCTAATCATCACCCTCACTTCCCGAATTTTGAATTCACTGTGCAGCCAACTGACCTTTTCTTTTTTCCTCCAAATTTACAGTTACATATCTTATATCTGTTTCATATGATCCACGGATGATTAATCCGGCACTTTTCTTGAGTCCTGTGGTAAAAAGCTTTGCAAAATGAGAAGAGTTTCAACCCTTTTGTCTACAAGATGTTCCAGAACATCGCTATCTACTCTTAGATCGAAAAAGGTTTGGAATGATATAGGCCAACATAACCCGAGACGTATTATAATGACGTAATGGCTTTTTTTTAAATATTCGCTTTCCTATGGGAGCGAAGTCGGGACGCCAGGTAAAGTGCGGACCGTCTACTACATAGGAAAGCGCACATGTAAACAAAGCGTGACGTCATTACGTCTCAGGCCAATCAAGGTCGATATGTGTTTGGACACACGGGCTTTGCTATAAAGGAAGATCATTGTATCAATATGTTTGGATACATACCTCTGACATGGCTGGCAGCCTTGGCTGCTGGATGCACTAAATCTCAACAGTTAACGTAACGTGTTGTAATTATTATTTTTTTTAACTGCGGTCCAGACCTCTGTGACAGTGGACCGTGTGTTAACGAGGGAACTTGCATTGATGTACCCGGCGGATTTACCTGTCAGTGCCCTGCTGGCTACGACGGATTAACATGTGACAGCGGTAAAGTTTCAAGTGATCATGGTGCACTCCCTAGTCCCCCTTTTATGAAGGAACCATAATTATGCACGCTATTGTACAATACATCTGCCATGAGTCAGATTATCTAGCACAAAGCTTTCGCCATCGAAGGGGACCTTCGTGATAAATTTGATACATTGGCGGATCCAGGGGCCAACGGTATCATGGCCCCACCTCATCCCCACCCCTGAAACTTTGTATTTGTTTTTTATTAAGGAACAGTGACGATACCTTTTTGCCATAAATGTTCAGGAAATAAATTAAAACGCTGCGTGCCTCCCTCGCATTTTTAACCATCAGCTACACATACCTTTTAGTTTTAATAATTCAGTGTTGAAATAGCCAAGATACTATATACTTAATCCCCTTCCCCTTTTTGAAAAGAAATGCTCAAGCGCTCGAGGTCCCAAACATTTGATTCTAGGATTGGTCAGGTTTCATCTTAATTTTTCTCCCTTTCCCTTCGAATAGTTGCTCGCTGCTTGCTTACCAATGACCAATCGGATGTTCTGATTGTGGTATCGGTCGAGCAGGCTGTATACCTTCCTGGTGACTTGATTGAGTATGGTTGCCCTGACGGATATCACCTCAGCGGGTCCGCCACGAGATATTGTCGGTCAGACTTCTCGTGGTCCGGGCATGAGCCTGAATGCGTCATGGAAGATCGGGCTTCTAGTAAGTTTATCATTGTCAGGAAACATAATTAGCGACACTGGTTTTTTTTCTCAAGACCACAAATCAACTGGCCTGACAGAAAACTAGCTACTGGTTTGTCGTTACTTAACAACATTAGTAGATAATTCACTATTGAATGAAAGTTTACTTTTTGGGGATATTTTTTGTTGTTGAATTTTCAGTTCAAGTTTCTAATATTGATATAACCAGTAGGCGATTTTGTCTAACAACATTTTATTACAATCATTTCATTCCTGCAATTAATGCAGTTCAACAACTTAATCATTTTAGGGAAAATATACTTTTAAGGCCTTTCAAATTGATTTAGGAAACTGCTAGGTTTGTTCTTACATCATTTTGTCATATCTTAGTTGAGGGATTTTTTTTTAATTAACCATATTTTGTAGTCATGACACTCACTTCCCGAATTTTTAATTCTCTGTGCAGCAAGCTGACCTTTCCTTTCCTTTCCCTAAAATGTACCGTAAAACATTTTACATCTGTTTGCTGTGATCCAGGATGAGTAATGCCACTCTTACTTTTTCCTATTCTCCAATTCATATTCCTGATCGACTTTACTTGAGTTGTCTTGTAGTAAAAGTTGTTCCAACTCTTTGAGAAGTTGCTCCAGAATATCGTTATTAGTACTTTCAGATTGATGTAGTTCGAAAAAGGTTGGAAATGCGATATGCCAATTAAGGTCGATCTGTTTTGGATACACGTGCTTGGCTAGTGCAGGAATTATATCAATATGTTTGGAAACATGATACCGGGGGGGGGGGCGACGATTTTTTTTATGCATTGGGGGACCCCGAAGGGAGGGGGGCATTAAAAGCCGTGCAAAATAGGGAGATTTTCAAGCCTTTTTTTGACAAGTCGTATCAGAAATATCGCTTTTTACTCTTAGATTGAGGTACATTGTTGTTGTTTGAAAAAGGTTCGGAAAGCTTTAGGCCAATGAAGGTCGATATGTTTGGATACACGGGCTTCACTAGTCCAAGAAGTTAGTGGCAGTTTTGTTTTAAATATATTTGTGCCACTCTGCGCTCGTCTCATTGATATACTATAAAGCTTACAAATGCAACTATTTTCCTCTGGATTCGAACAGCTGCCCACTGCGTGCTCACCCTCAACTCATCCGATGTCCTCACGATAGTAGCAGGTCAGCAGGCTGTATACCTTCCTGGTGACTCGGTCGAGTATGCCTGCCCAGACGGATATCATCTCCGTGGGTCCGCTACCAGGATCTGCCAGGCGGATTCAAAGTGGTCCGGGCAGCCAGCAGAGTGCCTCATGACGAGTAAGTAAACAGTAATGTTTCTATGCATACATTAATAATTATAATGATGAATATTCTATGACCATGCTTGCCAGTTTGATTATTGAACCAAATTAGAGAAACCTTTCACGTGATTTTCTTACTTGTGTTTTAGGTTTGAGAAGTGATGGTCGTGCAGTACCTGTGGTACCCATTGTCAGTGGTATAGGGGCGGTCATCTTCTTTGCTGTAGTTCTGGCTATTGCTATCACTTTCTTCATACGGTAGGTGGAATTCACTGCCACTTTTCTACTTTATAACTCAACCAATGGAAAAAAAATATTTTCACTAGTCTTGTTACATTGCCATACGACAGATAAAACAAAAACCTGCGGTTTAAACCGGCCTGTTTATCGCGAATAATAGTATCTTAAAAAATACGATTCAATGAAAATGTTTGTCTTTCAAAATTTATCAACTGGATCTATTACTTCGTTTATTAATGTAAAATGTCTGGGCGTAGACATAGACGCGTATTGATGGAAAATGGATGAAAAAAAGATGGAAAACCAGTGGAGTTATACGTTCTTTCACTTATCCCTTCAAAACCTCCTTAAAAGGGAATGTACAACATTTACTCTTGCTGCAATTTTTAGTAGTAAATGGACTTAGGAGATAAGAATATTATAGCAAATATTGTTAAACTGACTTCTTTCACGTTTTGGGCTTGAAGATGCTGGAAAAGCAAGAAAAACATCATGTTCTTGTAGTCTAGTTCCCTGACCTACTTAAAATGAAACTGAGCAGTTTGTTGACTTGGGAAATTGTAAGGTCAAAGAATCAGGCCGGCAGACTTTTACCCCTACACAGGTGTGTAATCAACGCAAAGAAAATGCAGAAAAACTAATAATAAAAAAATTCAGAGCAGTTTTTGAGAAAAAAAAGCCAGCTTTCTCCAACGCTGGTCGGCCGACCAGCGTTTGAAAAAACCCACAATTTTTCTTGAAAATGTCAACACACCAGGAGCCACGATTTTACAGGGTTTTAAAAATGTCGTTCCCTTACAATCCAAGATATTTCGTGATAATATGATCCTTTCGTTTTTGGATGTTTGCAAATGTTGTATATTCCCTTTAATTCTCTACCTTATCATTATACCGAACTGTCCTGTCACAATAGCTTATCTGTATTCCAAATTGGATAGCCTCTAGCTTAAGTTGATCGATTTAATTTATTGACGGTCAACTCTAAAGCTACTCATGGATTATGTATCGAATCATATTTTTATCACAATTTCCATCTTCTAGAAAATGAAAAACAAAAAAGTTCGGGTGTTAATACACTCGTGGTTTTCTGCTGCCAGATTTTAATAACTAATAACATTCGCGTAAAACAATACTTGGTTTCTATAATGAAATTCTACATAAGTAGGTTGTGTATTATTTGCTGCTATATTTAAAGTCTCAGGTGACATCCAATTTCTGTTATTCCCAAATTTGATGACACAGCAAGAGGACAGCTAGTTACGGGGACGAGTTGGTTAACACTCCTGACGTCGCATACCGTACCTCCAAGGATCTCTTCATGGGGGGAACATATGCAGAAGCCAAGGAAACCACCAATGAACCAATCTACCAGGACTCCATTCTCTAGAGATATCCCGTCCAAGTCTAGCCCTAAGAAAACAATCATACATGAAATCAAGATACCAACCGCAAGCAGTAGAGCAATGCAGGAGTCGCCATTTCTTTTTAAAGATCAAATTTGAAATGGTGTATAATCATCATGTTAGGCCTATAATCAAGATTCTTAATTTTTTTACGACGAAATAATATTTAATGACGTTTAACATGTACTCAAGAAATGTGTTTGTCAACTGCAAAAAAAAGTACTCGAGAAAACACACTCAACGCGAGTGACATTTAAATATTACCTCTTTATGTATTATTTCATAATAGGCAATCGAATATCAAAGGAAACATTCAGCTCATTTTATTTTTAGATTTGAATCTCATAAACTTGAAGTGGAAGGGACGAAAATATCAATTTATTCATATAAATAGGCTTTATTCGACACGAAAACGTTATAAATATGAAATTTTATTAATCTTAATCAGTGGTTGATGTTTCTTTGGAAAGTACTCCACGCATGAAATTATTGTGTCAGCTTTAAGGAGCCATGTCATATTGTAATGCAATCATTGAAAATACGTCTTTGTGTCCCATTTAACCTTATTATAAAATGTCGATTGCCACTTTCGAAGGTATATTGTGGTTCTGTTATAGGGTTATGTGCTAACGAACATTTCCATGTGATGTCATTTCAGGCAGAAACCTCCATGTCACAGCTATTTTAGCACCAAAAGTTGCTAAAAGTTAGAATAGCTTGCTGCCGTAAATTGTGTTTTCTTTGGTGATGCATTTTTCTGTCAGTATACATGACAATATACATGAATGAGCACACTTTCCTAACAAATGTTTTAAGTGCGTATAACTTTTTGGGTTCACAATTTGAACAGAAAACTTCTAAACTGAACAGTGTCTTCCAGAAATGGCTCACAGCAGCAGCGCCCTCAGATGTTCAGACAAGCATTAATTAAATGTTTTAAAAAAATAGCCAAAAAGGGATGTCGAATAGCTTTGATACATTTAAGAGTAGAAAGTTGCACAAAATGTCTTCCACAGAAAATTCATCTCGTAGATCCTGTATTGAATCTTTAAGGTGCATTTTGAAATGCTAAACGCTATGTTAACAACGAAAAAGCGAATCTGAAGGTATATTGCTGTTGATTACATAAACGGATTATTGCTAAAACAGTTATGCTCGTGGATAACCAATTTTGCATGTTAAATATGTCCTCGTAAATGAGATACTAAAAAAGAACCTGTATTTACAAACAGCGCCCTCTTTTGATTTGTATTATATAAAGTTGTACGTCAAACAATCTTAATGACGCTCTTATAATTTGCCTCTTTTATGCGTTTGTCTTGTCAAATAATTAAATTTACACTAGATGTAAATTACTTTTTTACTCGAAGTGAAATAAAGAACAAAATGTTCTTTTTTGGTTTTAAAGTTATCGACCATCTCTGGAAGAGTACGGTGAGTTGCAGTCATAAAAGTAATAGGAATGGGGGATTGGAAAGGGGCGACTTTATAAAATACGAATTATTGGCTTCCAGACAATAATTCAGCTCTCTCAGGGCAGGTTTATTTTGGCGCGAAATAAGAGCCATTTTTTAAAAGTTGCAGAGGCCCAAAATCAAAACAAAATATAGTTTTCGTTAAAATAAAACATAACAATTAAAAATTCGATGACAAAAAGAATCCCGTTATTTTTAAACACCATGGAGTACGCAACTTTTATTATTAAACTGAAAGAAATTTTGAGCGAAAAAACATCCCGGATCGTCATACAAGGCAGGCACGGAGTTCGAGTTATGAACAAAATGACGGCCTACTCTTGAGGCTTGCACGCAACTATGGTATTGTCAGCAGTACAAACGAAAATACAGTACGTCGGGATAAGACCATTTGCTTTTTAAATTTGTCATTCACATGTCGAGCTATAACGGAGTTTCTTTAAAAGTCTGCGAGTAATGGTGAAACCATGGACATTACATTTAGAAGCCTAAAGGAATAAAGGTGAAATGTTAAGAGGGTTTCACTAGATACAACGTTTTGTGGTTCGATTAAAGGTAGGTCATCGAAGAGATTACACCACACGGTAAGTGCATTCACGCACTTGGTAGCGTGCTGGATTCATTGCATGACAGAAAGATTCGTAGAGCTCCTTTCGATTTTAGACTAAATGTACACATTTGGAACTAAACAATAGATTACGTGTAAGAACTAGTACTTGTTCAAATATGTAGCTTACACTAATCGTTTATCACTATCTTGCACTACCCTTCTCAAAAGTAGAAGAGGCATATACGGGCATATCGATGCATGCGGCTCACTAACTGAAATCTGCCTGAAATCTCCGAAATGTTTATGTTTAAGATTGTTTACTTATCACATTTGAAAGGTCTGGTCAGAAGGAAACTAACATTATGTAACACTGTTCCTGATCGACCCGGCATACATTTTGTGGCATGCGCATTCGTATGTCTAGCCGCAAATATTAAATCTCCTTCGTGGTCTCCCGTGAGGAGGAAGATTCAATGTCCAGGACATGTCGATTGTGAACTAAAATTTTAGAACGTAAAAAAAAAATTGGTTTTAAAATGCTCCTGTTTTAACCAGATTTAATTTCCTGGGCGGAATTTCGGACTTAATTTCCGTTATAAAATACTTCAATTTGCGACGCATTAACACACCTTGGAAATTCCTAGTTTTTGAGTAAAATCCATATCTCTATTTCGTGATAACCTTGTGGAGACGTATTCACCTACAGAAATTGCCATTTGGAGACGTATACAGTATTTTGTTCCCCATTATACCCATGTCTCCACAGGGTACCGTGGTATCAGATCAGCACCAATACACATTACGTTGGTTCCGTATACGTACGCAGCCTGCGATGCATCGTTGAAACATGTGCGGCTTGATTAACGACTAGCACCCAAACAGCTCAATTTCTGAGAGTCAAAATGTTGATGACCCCCGAAATGCGTTCTCGCAAGAAAAACACCAAAAACTGGCCACTTTTTAAAGCGTTGTTCGGACGTTTATTTTCTAAATGTTCTTTCCAATGTAATATCAGTTCGTTTAAAACGCGTTTTGTTGCACAATGGGCCGATCCAGTAAGCCCCGCCTAATGCGCACGTGGGCAAATTAACACGTGCTCCTCTCCAATGCCACACTGCATTTTCCTGCTGCGCGCATCATACGCGCGTGCACGCATGTCGGACTTTTGTGAACGCATGTCGGACATAAATCACGGCTGTGATTGGTCAGAATATCATTGGGCGGTGCTTACTGGATCGGTCCATTGGGTGCGTTCCAGGACGTACAGTGTCCCTTAACTCCCTTTTACAAATAGTGCCATGTGAATCCTTCAATGAAGAGCAGTACCCACTGAAGTATCGGTCAACATCACGCTCGAAGTATTTTGATAAATTTTCTGTCCACATGGACAGGAATTTAAGGCAATCAAAGTCACTTTTGCAAACCTTACCATAAAAAAACAGAGAGTAGTCCTATTTGATGATTTTTTTCCGTGTCGTGTAGTACGAAAGTATTGGGACACAAATTCAAAACAGGCGACAGTTTAGGGGATAATTTTTCAGTTTTGCCGAGTTACTGTAAACTTGTCTTCACTGAAAAATGGTAAAGGATGCCACGGAAAGTGCAATATATAAATATCATTCAAGTCGGAAACCGTTTTAATGAGAAAAGTAAGGTCTCACGTTATACGTTTTTTCGTTGAATGTAACGTTATTGTGCACCTACACTGTACACGGACCCTGGATCCGGGCCCGTCTAGCCTCGCGCCACGCGCCACGCGCCACGCTCCGTTTGTAATCTTTCGACGCGTTGGAAATGTATACATTTAAACTGAAACGATTTACAACTGACTGGTTCCCGCCCCTGAAATGCAGTTAAGTACGATCATAGAGGGCACTGGAACCAGTTTATTTGTGCACGAAATTTTCAAAATGGGTTTACTCGAAAAATGACGATTTTTATAAGCTACAGGTTTACTTTTTACATCAAATCACCTGTAAAATGGAAATAATCTATCATCCTTTTCGATGGTACTATTGCTGATCTAAGGTAAACTCGGCAAATTTTCCAAATGTGTAAACCAAACTCAAAAGCGAACGATGTTTTTCCATTTCATTTTGTACGTTTTTTTTGGCAATAATTATTGTTTGTTTTCATATATTTGAAAGGATTTTTAGCGCCGTCACCACACTGTAGACACAATTTATATCTTTGTTCACTTGCTCTACTGATCATTTTTGGTTTGAATCATCTTTTAAGTACGTTCGAGAAGGATACATTTTAAGACAGGAAAACCAAACAATCGTTCAGTGCGTCGTCTGCTACCGCTGTTTGCAAGCCGACGATGCGGAGGAAACCATTGCGCATGCGTGAGAAGACAAACTAAATTCACACACGGTCTATGGGGCTGAAACATACGTGCGCCGTAATAATTCTGTTATGTGGATCCCCCAATGTGTGGCAACGGTAACTTGAATTAACTCGCCTCGTATTATTTATTGTTGTTAACCACGTAATAATTCTATTTTGTGGATCCCTCCATGTATTGCAATGGTAATTACCTGACATCGCCTCGTATTATTAACCACACCATGTATTGCAACGGTAACCTGACCTCGTCTGGTATTGTTAACCAAATAATCTATTCTGTGGATCCCTCCATTTATTGCAACGGCCGGTGTAATTTTTATTCCTAGGAGGGTTAGGGGCAATGTCATGAATAATTCATGTTTATCCATGAGAACGGACAATCACATCAACAGCATTGTTGTTAGTTACTCAACTTGTTACAATACATTAAAGCATTTCAAAGAACGGTTGTCGTCGAGCTACCACACAGTAGCCTAGTGGATAGCGAGATGAGCTATGGATACAAAGATCCCTGGTTCGAATCCACGTCGTCGCTGCTCATTTTCATCAGTTATTTTTCTTCTTCAAATTTATCACTGAGATAATTTTAAATTAAGGGGAAAATAGAAGTCTTGCAATGATTCAAAGGAAAAACTGAATTATTCATGACATTGCCCCTAACCCTCCTAGGAAAAAATATACGCCAACGGGCGGTGTCCTGACCTTGCCTCGTATTGATAACCACATAATACTTCGTGAATTCAGTGAATCAGTCAGCTGACCTCGCCTCGAAAACAACTTAATAATTCTATTCATGTGAATCCCTCCTTGAATCACAACGGGTGACCTGACCCCATGGTTCGGGTTGTTGCACAACTTAATAGCAGTAATGACATCTTAGTGCCTTAAATCATCTGTCAGCAACCATCTCCTACATATAGCTGATAACAGGTATAATCGATCCTTTAGGTAGTCTGGTTCCCAGACCTAAAAATTATTCCCGACGTTCACGTCTTAAATTGTAGGTCAGGCACAGGCGCGGTTCTACGGTGGGGGAGCTAGGGGGGGGGGGGGGGCTTTTGCCCCCCCCCAATTTTGTCTAGCCCCCCCCCCAAAAAAAAATTCCGTAAAAAAAAAAAAATTGCATTAGCAAAAAGAAGGATTGTGATGTACATGCGAACGGTCTCCCCCTAAAGAAATAGTCGTGACAAGGGTGCATTTGTAGATAATATAGTGTGAATAATTTGAGGATTTTATTGCCGCTCCCCATTGAAAATATTGCATGAGTTTCCCCCCCCCCCCCAACACACACACACACACACCTATTGATTTTCGGAGGCCTAAGTGTCCGGAGAAAATAACCGGTCTACATTTCAGCACGCCTCCCTGAAAAAAAATCTGGATCCATCCTGCTAGCCCCCCCCCCCCCCCCCGATATCGCTTTATCACTTGTAGCTTTTAATGTTTTGATCAAATCTTGAAATAAATCACTTGCTTCGTAATATCATACAGTTATGATAATACAGTTTGATGTTTTTGTAAGATAACATTGAGTAATGTTGATCTGGAATCTTCAAAATTAGGGAACCAAATAGCACTGTTAGCAGGTGGAGCCGAATGAAGACCAAGTTTTAGAAAATCTCGGTAACGGTAGTCAAATTCAAAATTGTACATGACGCAGCAAAAAGTTCGCCCGTACGATCCGAGTATATTTGATGCACAAAATTGAATTTCAAGTTTTCTAAATGAAAGCAATGAATATTAATTATCAACTCATTTAAAATAAAATTAATAAGCAATTAGCAGTTAATTAAACCTAAATTATATACTCGGAAATACTCGGGCGCTATCCGATTGTCGATGAAACGACTTCGGCAAACTTCGGGAATTTTCGGAAAAAAGGAGGAATTCCTCCCGTTTTAGTCACGTGACGTAAATTGTAATACATTGTATTACCGGAGGCTACCGGACCTAAGATTCATCAGGAATAGTCAGAATCTTTTTGTCTGGGAACCAGACTATCCTTTAGGCCAAAAAAAGTCTCCGGTTTCTGGTATGCGCGCGCGTCGCCGTAGCCACGCGCGTCGGCAAAATGATGGTTTATTTTTTTTTTCAATAAAAGATGATGTCTCAAAACCGCCAAACTCACTGGTTTGACTGGAATCCTGCTGCTGCACATTTTTAACGTATTTTTAGATGGGGTTATGATCGAGAATAAGCTTTATGTGGCCTATCTGGACTCCATATATTTGCACTATAAATTTAGTCGGGCACCATTTGCAGTCATCAGCCGACATTTGAAGCAAAAAAAAAACAGGTAAAAAAAAAAGAAGTTGCATCGCGGCACCACTTTTTGGGCAAGCTCCATACCAGAAACCGGAGATTTTTTGGGGGGCCTTACCGACTCGGCTCTCATCCCGCGTCTCGTTCTCAATCGAGGGCTTATACCCTTACCTTGCAGACCGCTGCTTATCAACTCGTCATTAAGAAATGGTGCGCAGAGTGGGAGAATGACGTCAATGCCCCAAAGAACTCCGGTCACCTTCCGTAGTACCAGCTGGTTTCGACAGCCCCAGAAGAAGCTGGTGTACATCGCCTAAACTGGCTCCTCACAGGCCACGGGCGTACTGGCCACATGCCACACAAATGGCATATATGAAGCCAACACCTGAGTGTGACTGTGGAGCTGCTGGTCAGACAGCAATTGTTTATGAGTGCTCAATCAGAAAACCTGACCTGGCCTGACCTGACCTCGCTCTATTTGGTTGCTGTACAACTTCGGAAATAATTGTTTGTAATACAGTCTGTAGTCCACACACAGCCACGGTCATTGCCTGTAATTCCACCTGATGTAGCTGTATCTCACGGCTTACACAGAAACAAGGATGGTTAACGCAAAGAATATGCCGAGTACCACAGTAAGTAACTGCAAATGTGAGATATAATTTCAAGTCAAGATTGGGTTAATGCATGGGAAACGCAGTGCTATTGGATGTGCTGGACATAAAGGGTTGGCTATACGGAGTGAGTAAAAAAAAATGAAACCCAAATGTCGGGACGATTTTTGTAGTGAGGTTCTGCAAGTAGCACTTTCAAAAATCTAGTACGATGTGAAAGCCAAACTCATTAGTACAAGAAACATTCAAATCACTCTGTACCTTTCAAATTACGGAATATTAAGCACAACCACCGTTTTACAGTGCTATCCACGGATCACAAAAAAGGTAAGTGTTCTTTCAGCAAACCAAAACAATTCACACAGGGAAGTATGTAAATTGTTTTCGTTTAGCTGAAAGAACACTTACCATTTTGTGATCCGTAGGCAGAACTTTAAAATGGTGTTTGTGTTTAAAATTATGTAACTAGTTGAAAGGTTTATGAGTGATTTGAATGATTCTTGTACTAAAGGAAGGCGTATGAATTGGGCTTTTATATCCTATTTACAGATCTTCACTTAACAGATGGTCTCTACACTTGGGTTTCGGTTTTGATTTACTCACCCTGTACAAAGCGATTCATTCATGGCCGTACGTACTGAGGAGTGAGAACTCAAAATACCGACCTGCGAGGGGTTACAGCCCGACAGTCCGAAGGTTCGATAGCCCAAAGGTTCTTTGGACCGAAGGGTCATTAGTCCAGACACGCGCGGATCCAGATGGGGGCACACCCGGGCCCGTGCCCCCCCTTTTCGCAACTGTTTTTCTTTTTTTTTTCTTTTTTTTAAGAGTCGTCTTAGGGCGGGCGGGCATTAAATACATCCCTTTGAGAACATGGCTATCTTTTTCGTTTTTGAGGAGTCACTATGGCGGGCGGACTGGCGGTCATCAAATCAATCGCTTTGAACATAACTATCGTACATAATTATCAACAAAAATATACAATGTATAAGTTTTGAAGGTCGCCTGTCAATCATTGTCTCAAAATTTCTTTCAAAGCAAGAATATATTTTTATAAGACACTTTTCTATTTCCCGGCTGAAAAAGGGGGCACATTTAATACAGCACTTGCATTTAATGCTTCATGTCAAAATATATTCCAAAATATATATTCTAGAGTAGAACATGTACCGGTACACGAAATAATGTATGCCATGTGTTTTTTAATAAATGAAGAATAAAATTGTCATTCCCTTTTTTTATTTTCCCGGCCTCAGAGAGAGATTACGTCTGGTTCTCTAAATATTTTTTTAAAAACAAAATGATTAAAAAACCCTAGCCCGTTAAAGTTTGCACTGTAAGTTAATTCTCTTGTAGATTTCAGGGGAAATTTAATACGAATTATGCTCAGTTTTTCTTATTTTTGAACGAATATGATCAGGATTAACAACATCCCTCAAATAATAGCGTCAAAATATATTCCCAAATATATTCTAGAGTAAAACATTTTCACAAAATAATGTAGGCCATGCGTTTTATTTTTTAAATACACGAAGAATTAATCGTCATCCCTTTTATATTGTCCCGGCCTCAGATAGAGAGAGACATCAAATAATTCATTTTATCACTGAAAGATAAAATACATTATTCTCCACAAACGCACAGTTGAGTCCTACACTTCCTTTTATCAGCTGATGGTTGCTATGGTGTAGGAAAAGTAAACATATCGATTGGCCTAATTGCAGTTTGCCGCCCCCTGATGGTATAAAGCCAAAAGCGATGTTCTTGGCATAAGGATGGATGCTTTTTGCTAAGTTGGTACAAATGTATTAAGTTCACGTGCGCGCATTGACGCGCTAAGTGCATTTGGGGCAAGAAAGGCCAGTTCGGCGTAGCTTTTTGAGACCGCTACATCAAAAATAAATTTCTCCGGGAATATTTCGTTGTTCGCTTATATTTCCATGGGTGTTTCGTTCATAATTGAACATCGTTTGGTGAATTGTCTCCGGGATGGTATATGATTTTTGTTATACAACTGGCTGCAGTGATCTTGTGAGTTTTTGCAACTTTTCGTCATTTCGATGCTTCGCCCAGCCGTGGGCGTGATGCCGTACGCTGAGCAGAGTGGGCCCTACACCTGGTGACTGCAGTCTGCTAAATCATCAGACAGATCGTACTTAATTTACTTCATGTGCGTTTCTTCAGCTGACTTGAACTTTCAGTTATTTGTTCAACCTCTTGGTGAGGTTTTGGAGATCGTGATTAGTCCATCAGTGAAGCTTGTGTGCTTGAATCATGTTCTGTCGTTAGTCTACGAATACTGAAGTACGCAACGTTATGACCGGCGGAGTACGGTCGGCGAATCCCCCGCCTAGATTTCAGTCCACCCGGTACCGGCTGAGGTTCACGGCATGCTTGGCCGCGGAAACGCGGGAGTGCAGTGTGAAACCACGTCTATATGCAGGCCTGAACGCTGTTCATGACGTCCAGGTCCCGGGATTTTTTCCTGCGTTTATACAGTATTGGACATCATGCGCAAACATGCTATCATGGATGGAATTCGAGGTGAGAATTTTCCAATTATAGCCCTGGTTTCGGGCCAATTTTTGTCAGTGTTGCTGTGTAGTTTAGTGTGAAGTTTTTGGGGCTCCGCACCCGTGATTCAAAGAGGCTCGGCCTCACTGCCAACCATACCGTAGGCGAGAATGAATCGATCGTGCTGGATTGATATTTGAGTAGGGCCAAGATAATTGAATGGTACAATTAAGATGGACCGACTATAATTGTTGTGAAGTTGAATGACAACTGAAATAAATGTCCGAAAAAGATGATGTTTGAATTCAATGTCACTTATCAGTGTTGACAAATTTTGGCAGATCTGGTTAAAATTCAGTCATTCGGAATATGGGGGAGAAAGGCTACTCAGATACATTTTGATGGAGCCTCCTAATTATTTGCCTGCAGTGAGTTTGTTCCATTTTTCTATAGTAAACTATTGGAACCAAGCAAGTAATTTTCCGGGCGAGTGCTGGAATTTTATTAAATCTGAGTAGGCCTAGGCCTATAGCTGATTCTTTCTTCATCTGTTTCTACAAAAATAAATAGGCCTAGGGCCTATAACCTGACCATTCTCCTCCCTTCATGGGCGCAATGGTAAACTCCCAATATAATCAAATAAATTTATAAATTATAAATAGGGCCTAAATAAATAAACGCATGTTTAAAAAGAAAAAAAAATATGAAATGGATAGCTGCTGCTTTGAGTATTGTTTTTTACAGGATGCCACGGCAAGGCGGACGCTGCAAATTGGTTGGGGACAGGAACTTTTACCATTGAATACTCTGCGGGTTGTCTTCCAAGTTCGGAAGCCTATAGCAAGGTCGGTGGGTTACTGATGATCGCTCAGCAACTTGGTAACGTGCAGAATATCAACTGTTGCCGAATTAAATGCACTCATCAGGAAACTGCCTTAACACAGAAGGAGTCGCATACTTCTACTTTGCGAACATGATCTGTTAATTTCTACAGACATCTGTTTGAATTTAATCGGCATAGGATGCAATAGATGTTTCCTGATACATTCAGAAGAAGCATGAAAAGTAATATTCCTGGTGGTCTTTAAGACACAAGTGTATTGTGTCACTGATGTGATTTAGGAATGTTTCTAATATTTTAACCACGCGTGTTACAGTGTAGCAAATACGGCGGCTGATTGACCCAGATCAGATCTTTAACATCATGTATGGTTTGAATTTTGGTCAGCATTGTAAATATCAACAAGGAATTGATAATTTTGGTTGGACACATTCTGGCACATGTATACATAGTATAATTTCCAAGGTATATGCACCATAACACATTTTCAAGTTTGAATCCACCCTTAGAATTTTGGTGTAGGTGGGCGTATATTAGACATGGCTGCTTTTGTATGGTACAGGTTTCCAAAGGTAACCAGGAGAGTACCCAGCATATTGATTCAAAGTAGTGCATTGCGGTGGTGCATAGCTTTTTTCAAGGTGTATTAATACTTTAAATATAATATTTGATGCCATGGAAGTAAGAAAAGGGATGCTGCCCATCTACGTGTATCTCAAACTCTTCATATTAATACTTACAGTTTTGCTCCTAGAGTCCAAAAAGAAACTTGGTCGCCGATTCAGGGGCCGGAAAGGAATTTTCCCCAATTTTTCCCACAAAGATGGGTTTTTTATTGGGTTTTCGCCTTTCCTAGGAGCAATGATAGCTAAATGTCATGATTTCAAGATGAGCCTGATGAATTAAAGGTAATCACAATTGGAAGCTGATACTTTTGACATGTATACATACAACATTTTAATTATGTATTTGCCCCCATTTGCTTATTTTGGACTTCAAACACTTTGTGGGCCAACATTTGCCAGTTTTATTGTTGGGGCATTAGGATTGCAAGTTTCTGAATTTATACATCGATTTATGGGATTTGTATGATGAACATATTGACCTAAATGGTTCTGCACTTAATTGCAAGCTAGATCAGGAGCGCAACCTTGATTTGGAGATATAGTTTTACTTCAATCTTGATAACATCATGCTAAAACGTAAAACGATTTCAAACACCCTAGCCCATTAAGTTCTGAACTCTCAGTTAATTCTTTTGTAGATTCCAGGGGAAATTTTAATACGAATTATGCTTAGTTTTTCCTAATTTTAAAAGGAATACGAATAAGATTATCAACAGCCCTTTGACTTCAAACTTAATTTCAAAATGTATTCCGAAATAATTATATTCTAGAGTAACATTTACAAAAATAATGTAGGCCATGCAGTTTTATTTTTTAAATAAGCGAAGAATAAAATCGTACTACTAAAAAAAGACATCGGGAGCCCTACATTTAATTAATTATTTGGACTTGGAATATCATCCCCCAATCGTTTATCTATGTGCATGTACACAACACGGAGGTGAAATTTCACGTTCAATTCAGTTTCCCACATTTTTCGCATAAAGTTTTCCCCTGTCTCTGAGAAAAAAAAAGCCCAAATAAAATCTCAGCGCCGAAAAGCCTTTTCAGAGAATGATTGATAGCCGCATTGTTCAAATTGATACAATGCCACTCTTGTTCGTTACAAAGCATATACATTTGGGTTCAGCTGTAGGCCACCGAACTTTAAGGCCTTTGAGAACTTGCCGCCAGTAATTGGAAGATTCTAAGATGATAAACAGTGATGATAGTATCTCAGCCAATGAAATGAGCCGGTTCCCGGCAATAAATATGCCATTGGTTGCCTTCATCACGGACCGTCTGCTTTCATGAATATGACTTCCTTCCACGCGCAACTGGAGTGATTAGCTATCTGAGCCACAGGTGCATGGCTGCATGCCCATCACATTCCAACCTGGTTGCTTAGAAATACTGTTGCTAGGAGGCTCCCCTGTAATGCCTGGGACTGCCGGTTGCGTAGCCAGAAATCTTGTACATGTATGTGACTATTTTGAAACCTTGTATGTGAAAGCGGCAGCTCAGGAATGCTGCCGCTTTCGGGAAATTTGTGCAGGCAAAGTTTTTCAAATTTTGGAAATTGGAATTTGGATGCAGTTTGCATTTCCGTTAATAAAAGATTGTTTTTTGTTTTCTTTTTAAGAAAATCGGAGCCCCCCCCCCCCCCCCAAATACAAATAAACAATTTTCCTCAGGCCTTGACATTTCTTGAAGTGATTCGACAACACTTGCAGAATGCAGACGATTCATTTCGTCAATGTACATCATTGGCTTTTGCTGTAATTTTCAGAAATGAACTATTTGGGGGGTTAGTATAATAGATCAAATATTGTTGCACTGACATGTTTGACGTTTTGTGTTCGAAAATGCTGGAAAAACCAAGAAAAACAAAAATATTCAAGTAGTCTGGTTCCCTGACTCCACTAAAGATGAAATGGATCAAAAATACCGGAAAATTGTAAGGTAAGGGAACCAGTCTAGCTGGCCTGCACCCGTTCATGAACATGGAACCAAAAGCTAGCTAAACAAAATTTAGACTAAACAAAAATGGTAAATTTAGAGCAGTAATTGAAAAATAGTTATGTTTTTCCAACGGTGGTCGGCCGACCAGCGTTGGAAATGTATACGAATATCATTTTCTTGAAAATGGCTTCACACCAGGTGCCATAATTTTACAGGATGCTTTAGCATGTCATTTACCAACATCCTAGTAAGGTATTTCGTAACAACTTGGTAGTTTTATTTTTCGATGTTTGCAAATGTTGTATTTTCCCTTTAAATTATTTAGCCTGCAGACTTCAAAAGAACATGGAAAAAATGGTGGATAAAGTGTATACAAGACTAGTGTATATACTAAGTAAGGAGAGGGGCAAAACGAAAAGGATATTATTAATGATGATGGAAGCAACAAAAAAATGAAACGACAATAACATCAACCAAATTGGGGTGGGGGGGGGGTAGGGGCTGCTTGGGGCAGGTTGTCCCCTAATGAAATTCAATTTATTTTATTTTCTTTGTTTGCAAGGCAAATTTCTGGGTAGAAATGTATGTTTTAATAGCAAACATGACTTTTTTTGGCTCGCTCGCTCCGCTCGCTCACAAAATAACACATGTTCATTTTTTTTTTCACCCGGGGGCTGTCATCAGCACCTTCTAATTTTGGGGTTCATTTTCAACTAACATCAACAGTGACTTTAAATTCTATATTTGATAGAAAAAAATAGTGTTATTAAAATTAAAAAATAAACATTGTGAATTTTGCTCTTATTGGCTTAAAATACTCATGATGTAGGAGAGAACATCTAAAATCGTAGAGCTTCCAGTGCCCTCAACCCCGCCCGCAAGGGATTTCGTGCTTCAGTCTCGTTATGTGTGCAAGTGCACAAAGTTTTTGTGCCCCCCCTTTTTGAAAATCCTGGATCCGCCCCTGAGTCCAAAGGTTTGTTAGTCCGAAGGTTGAATAGTCCGAAGGTTTGATGGTCCGAAGGTTCGATAGTCCGAAAGGTCCATTAGTCCGAAAATAGAATAAGGTTCATTACTCCGAAGGTTTGATAGTCCGAATAGACAGTTGGGTTCGAAAGTCCGAATCGACAATAAGGTTTGATAGTCTGAATAGATAAGGCCCGAATTGAGAATAAGGTTCGATATTCTGAATGGGCAATACAGTTCGTCAGTCTGACATTTCGGACTATCGGACCTTTCTGTTGGTTCGGACTATCGGACCTTATAGTCTTTTCAGACTATCGAACCTTGTTGTCAATTCCGAATAATGAGCCTTCGGACTATTGAACCTTATTTTCGTTTCGGACTATTGAACCTTCTGACAAATGAACCTTCGGACTAAATGAACCATTTGATTAATGAACCTTCTGACTATTGCATCTGTTCGGATTAACGAACCTTATTTTATTTTTCGGACTAACGAAACCCCTCTTATGGAAATTTTGTGCATTCGGACTATCGAGCCTTCGGACTAAAGAACCTTCGGACTATCGGACTTTTACTATCGAGCGCCCCCCCCCCCCCCCCGGCGAGGTGTCACTGTCCTTATTGTTTACCTTTGTTCCCTGTACCCAATAAGACCATGTATGTGTAAATATAATATGTACTTCTCCTAGCCTTCAACCTCATCGGGAATCGGGGATCGATTCATATAACAAGAATCTGCCGAACAACATTTTGATTCGCAGCACAACATAATGAATTTGCCTTGCACACAGCATTCGAGTTCGCCACAAAACATCGGATTAAAGGGTTCGTCGGACCGCGTTTATTGGTTGGTTCGTTGCATTGCTGTAAATACTGCAGACTTCTGGTATTTATTTAATAGGCAACTGCAGGCTTGGGTTTCATACAAAGCATTGATTTAGGCATGAACCCCATATTAATCTTTCATGTCCAAGGATCACGTGACTAGTCACTTGATTTAATGAGAGTGATTATAGTGCAAAGACTGAGGCAGGGAACGTGTGAAAATGCATAAAGGGAAATATGGAGAGAGAAGCGGGCAAAAATTGAGAGAGATGTGTGCAATAGTTAGATTGTATTAATGTATCATTTAAATCTCCAGTCATGTACCCTGGGTAATAAATCACAATGTTATTGACCCCTTGGTACTGAACCATTAGACTGGCATTCCCTACTCTTTTGGAAATTTATGGGTAACCACCAATATTTTTGTTCGTTTATTCATTCAAGATGAACGATTGACCAAGAACATCACGGGCGAAGAGTTGAAAAGGTGTATGGTGTTAATTCCCGCACACACGTTCATGCCTTTTTTGCGACAAAACGTGGCGTCCCTTATTCAATGCAGTATGAGGTGAACATAATCGTTGTTAACGCTTAAAATTATTTATTTTTACAGAGAGTAGGTTGCAGCTTCGGATGGGTTGTAGCCGCTATAGGTTTCTCCACCGGAGCTATTGAGCCGGGAACATTCAAAAGTTTCGGCGTCTTCATTTTGCCCATTCAGGAGTCCTTGGATTGTTCAATTTCAGCGTTGGGAACAGCCATAGCTGCATCTCATACGGCATGCTATGTTCTGGGTTAGTCACACACTAACTACAGATTATAAGAAACCAAACAGTGTTAGTCAATATATACCGTCACCGTCGATAACGAGTAAACAATCAACATTTAGAAGAACAAAAACAGTCATGTACGGATATCAATCTAGTACAGCCTGCATCAAAGTATATTTTGTACTATCTTACACTTGGTCTAAGATTGTCACACACAAAATCTAGCTCGAATGATATTATTTTGAGCCACTTTCAAACGGTTGCGATTGTAGGACAAGTTACTTATACAGTTTCGTTCATTCAACCCGATTATTAATTTGAATTGCTTGAAAAGATCATAAACTATTTGTCTTACCGCCATGTGTCATACACTGGTATATTCACATTTTCCTGTATTGTTGATAATGTTTTTTTTTATGAAATGAGGTTCCAGACATTTACAGGATGCATTCACTTTGTAATTTTTCAATGATTTTCAGTTCCACTGGTCAACATTCTAACTGAGAAGTATGGCTCACGAAGACTCGTCATGCTGGGAGGAATCATCATGTTTCTTTCGTTCCTTGGAATATCGCTGGCGACTAACATTGCTGTATTTTCAGTATTCATAGTGATTTGGGGTGAGTCAACCCGTTACAATTCAAACAGTTGTGCACGGTCGATTGTGGTAAAAGGCTTTCGCGAAACGATAATTAACTCCAAAAGTTCTTATTTAATCGTTCAAATAGGCCTTAAGTGCCATCGATTGACCTTCTTAATAGAAATAACAGTACCGGACCTTTTCTGAACGCGAACCTTACAGATAGCATAAAGATTATTAAGACGAAATCCACACTTCACCTTCTCAATTATGGGATGTGGCGTTCGGCGTTGCTTTCCCATAATAAGTTTAACTAACAGTCCGCAGGCATGCAAGGATTTAACAATTTCAGTATTTTTTTGATTTCTCATTTAAATTTCACAGGAATGGGTGTTTCCCTTGCCTACGTCCCTCCCATTGCCGCAGTGATCAAGTATTTTCCAACCAATGCGGCTCTACCTATCAGTATCACTACCACAGGATGTGCCTTTGGGATGATGATTTATCCCCCGTTGACAGAAGCCTTGATTGAGATATATGGATGGCGTGAAACCATACTCATATTTGCAGCTTTTAATGCAAATATTTGCGTTTTTGGAGCCTTGATCAAGCCGCCGCCACCGCTGTATGAAGCCCTTGCCACTCCACGTCAAGAGATGATACCAGCGCTTTCACTATCTGGTGACAGTAAACTGAACAATGTGATCAACGTCTTTAAGAAAGCTGCGAAGGGCTTCAGTAAGATTGTATCCTTGGATGTATTACTACTGGAACCAATTTTCACCATATATGCTTTTGCATGTTTTGTACTTGGCATCATGTATAGCGCTTGGATGATTTACCTCGTTCCTCATGCAGTGGTCAGGGGTATTGGGAACCAGCGAGCTTCTCTTCTATCTACAGCTGGTGGAGTTGGTAATCTCGTTGGCAGGATCGTATACGGGCCAATATTGCACCGTGGATACATCAAACCGGTTCAAATGTTCATGCTTCTTGCTTGTGGCAATCTTGGAGCATTTGTTCTTGATCCAATCGTGTTAGATAACTATCCAGGATTGGTTGGATTATCTTCCATCAATGGCCTTTGTCTCGGGGTTATGGCCGGTATGTTCATACTTGTGTCCCAGCAAGTCTTGGAGGGGGAAATAGGCGACAGGGCGTGGGGTATATTGTGTGTCTCCTTTGCGGTCGGGGAATTGGCCGGTGGAGCTTTTGCCGGTAAAGTGTACTTTTTTGGTCTTTTTTCTGTTCTTCGCAGCGGCATTTCTACTCAAGGGAATTACGCAATAAAATCCTTGATATTCACGTTTGTTCACGATATACTTTTACTATCAGTTTTTATATTGTCATTCTTAGTTATGTATTTGCAGTTGAGGTACACCATTTTTAGACTGATTTGGTTACTAGTTTCGAAAAGACTCAAGGTTTTTTAAATTTTGTATTAAGTGTATCAAATTTTATGGAGCAATTCAACGAGAAAACATGTTCACCTATTGGTGGCCTTCAGGGACAGCAAAGACGCAAATAGTTTATTTCGCAACACCGCAAATTGTTTACGACACTACATCGCCAAATCGTCACTGCACAGCGATTTTGTCCCGAAAAAATCACCGTATTTGCGAATATTTTCCTACCACATTAAAGGGTCATAAACAGGCCTTGTGCGCTCAATATACGTTTTTCAAAGCATCCCTTCTTTCTTATGTATTTCTATGTTTGTCCACTTCCTCCACGGTATCAGTAAAATCACTTAGCCCCTGTCGCTCACATGCACGTGCTTTATAGTTCGATGACGTCAGTTACGCCTATACACATGTATACAATTCGTCAACTGTTATCCAGTCATAGACGATTTCATTCTATTTCCACACTATAACCCAATCATTATGTATGTGAAATATGGCAAAAGATCTCTAAGGTGTTTAGAAAATATCGCGACAAAACAAATTCACGACATCAAAAATGCAAGTCGTAAAAGTCATGTCGCGTACTAGTTTGTACGTGATGTCGTGAATAATAAATGTGTGATATGAAATATTGTGCGATATCGTGAGATAAAATATTTACGTCTTTGATGTCTTCTCATCACACCAGGGCCACCGTATTCTAGAATACACGAAGCGCACAATCCCTATAAAGGATGTATGTTTGCTAAAATTTCCCACGCAAGTAAAACAAGAATTTATTTTTTTAAATGACGAGGAAATAAAAACCCAAACTATTGGTATTCCCCAAATAAGTTGACAGTTTGTATGAGCAAATAGGGTTCTCCCCCCCCCCCCCCCCCGTGCTGTCAAACTCATTATGTCGACTATTAAATTGGATCTATTGTCTGTGTTTTTTCTCTCCCCTTTATCCAGGTTTACTCTTTGAAGCTACCGGAAGTTACGAATTGCCCTTTCTGTTTCTGGGAGGTTTGTCGGCCTTTATCGCTGCAGCCCTTGCAGTCGAACGGCTTTGGAATCGCTTCTGGAGGAACTGAAGGGTTTTTTTGGTTCACTTTAGTTTCCGTGCTTTTCTTTTGTCCGTATTTCGTTGTACAAGCAGTACAGTCACTGTGTGGACCTCTGAACAAAATATGTCCACACGTTGCAGGTAGCAAATACGTTTTGTGGACTCGCCCACGTCCACACAAGGTTCCCCAGTCCCCTCTGAAAAACAGTTTTAGGGGCATTTTGTTGTCAGTGTATCCGTCACAAAATGAAGAGGAACTATCCAGGGAAATCAATATAAAGCAGTTTTGGTTAAGAGATCAGAGATCTCGAGTGTAATTAACAGTGCGAGTAAAATGATTTTCAAAGAAATGTCCATGCTATATAAGGTAAACATGCCTGGTTGCCCCGCACGATAAAAATGTAGTTGCGTTGATCCCTAATTGTCCCATTAAATCCCAAAATGTCTGAACTTTCTTGTAGGAAGTTGTCTGTCATTCGTAAGAGTTTGGGTTGTTTGTTCCTTTTGTTCTTTTAACACATGCTCTGAACACTAAAACTACAAGTCTAATAACTTGAACACTAAATACAAGTATAGAACACAAGTATAGGGGCTACCCAAGCCTTTTAGGACCTTGTGTGTGTATGGGGTTTAGAGATCCTGTCTTTCCGCTTCCTCTGGGGGTAGCGTCTCTTAGTGCTAGGCGGTTTTGTTGCTGTCTCAGGTACAACAGATGGTTGTTCTGCGTTGGGCTGGATGTCGGCAGGTGTATTTGTTGGTGAAGTAGTTACTGGACAATTGGGAGTCATCTGGTCACTGGTATCAGGGATAAGTGGGGGTACAGGATCTGGCTGCTGGTTGAAGAAGAAAGGCTTCCCAGTGTCGACATCAAGAAGTTGGTCGATGTGTCTGCGCCATATTGAGTCGGGGCCAACTCGAACTTTGTATGCGAGTGGGCCAGTTTGGGAGTGGATTATGCCTGGAATCCACTTCTGACTGTCTCGATAGTTGCGAGCGAGCACAGACTGGCCCGTGTGCAGATTTCGAGTCGTCTTCCCAGATCTGTGATAGATTGACTGTTCCAATTGTTTACGAGCAACGCGTTGACGGATGTCTGGTTTGATGATGTCAAATCTGGATCGGAGATTTCGTCCCATGAGAAGAAACGCCGGAGAATGACCAGTGGTAGCATGTGGTGCATTGCGGTAAGCAAGGAGAAAGCTGCACAACTTTTGCTTTACTGACCCTTTCTCTCCTTCCATCGATTTCAGTCCATTCTTGAAGATTTGGACGAAGCGCTCGGCAAGTCCATTTGTCGCTTGGTGGTAAGGAGCTGAAGTTATGTGCTTCACCCCATTGCGTTTCAGGAAGGTTTCGAACTCCTCTGACTTGAACTGGACACCGTTGTCGCTAACAAGTTGCTCAGGGACACCATGTTGTGCGAATATGCCCCTTATGATGTCAATGGTCTGGCTTGATATGTCGCGGTGGTAGTCTGGACAGCTTCCGGCCATTTTGAATGCGCATCAACAACTACCAGGAACGTCTGTCCCAAGAATGGGCCAGCGTAGTCAACGTGTATTCTCTGCCACGGTCTCGCAGGCCATTCCCAGGTATGAAGTGGAGCTAGAGTTTGGTTACGTTGGGTTTTCTGGCAACCAGAGCATTTTTTGGCTAGTTGCTCAATATGTCATGGTCAATTCCCGGCCACCAAGCAAAGTGACCTCGTGAGGGAGATTTCATCTTGACTACTCCGAGATGACCCTCGTTTAGCTCCTCTAGGACTTGTGCACGCAGTTTGCCAGGGACTGTGACACGAAGTCCCCACATCAAGCAGTTGTCGTGCACTGTGATTTCGTTTCTGCGGCTGTGGTATGCTGCTAGGCTTGGATCGGTGTCTGAAGGTCATACTCGTACACCTTGGCAAGCGTTTTGTCTCTGGCTGTTTCTCTGCGAACATCACTACTGGAGACCGGTAGTGTCTCTAGTTGGGACACTAGAGTATTTCATCAGGATCCGCTGGTTCAGACACAGTCTCGCCCAAGGGTAATCTGGATAGCCCGTCAGCGTTGCAGTGCTTAGCAGTGTTTTTGTATTCGAGGGTGTAATCATGACTACCGGGCAAATCTGTTTTTCCCAGTGCATGTCTGCAGTTTTATCTTTGACGGCTGCAACTGTTCTCCAGGGAAGAATTTCTGATAGTCAGCCATGGATAGCAATGTAATTGCTGAACCGGTGTCAACCTCCCTCTTTACTAGGCGGTCGTTAATGTGGATCGTGACCTATGCTCATGTCACACTTATTATGACCCACATTGTGAATGTTCATCCTGGCAATCAGTATGTCATCATCCACATTATCGGTGTCTGGAATTTCCTCAATGGTTTTCACCTTCCCTTTCTGCTTGGGTTGGGGCTTGTAGGGCTTTTTCTGTGGTGTATTACCCTGGGAACAAGGTTTGGAGCGGCAGGCTGTTGCTATGTGGCCCTGAGTTTTCCACATAAATGGCATGTTGCATCTTTAAATCGTCAACTGTCGGCAGAATGTCCTGATCTGCCACACCTGTAGCATGATGATTGTTTTTGTCGTGGTACAGTGTGTACAGCAGAACTTAAAGTTGTCTGCAGCTGGTGAAGTTCGTTGGCATCTCTCGCTGCAGTTTCCATTGCTGATGCAATTTCAGTTGCCCTTTTCAGTGTCAGTTTATCCTCTGCAAGCAGTCGTTTCTGAATGCTGCCTGCCCGCAAGCCACAGACGAATCTGTCGCAAAGTGCCTCGTTCAGGTAATCTCCAAACTGACAATGTTAGTCAGTCCAGCCAAATAAGTACTGACACCGGTCGCCCTCCTTTTGGTCACGTTTGTGAAAACGAAAACGTTCTGGGATGACCACAGGTTTAGGTTTTGAGGATGGCTTTTCAGGTGCAGTGAGATTCTTGAGAAGTGTATACGTTTTGCTACCAATCAGGCTGATTAGTGCTGAAACTTTCCTCTCATTCGCGATGTTGTTGCCTGTTGTTGTGAGATATTAAGTGGGTTCTGACATACAATTCGGAACGAGCTCACCTGGTTTATTCAGCTATGTTGGAAGCCTGGATTGTAACTGTGTAACAACTGAGGGCGCACTTTAGTATACTGTAAATGCATTACTGAGTGCGGGAGCATACATTACAGTTTGGTTCATTGTAGACTCTGCATGTTTTGCCTTTCAAACCGTTCACAGTCCGCTTATGTGTGACATCATTATTATTCAAACAGGCGCTGCGGTTACGCGAAACGTGTCTTTAGTTTTTCTTTTTCTTAAGTTTCTCTCAGCAATTCCAACAAATATGCCCCACAAAAATGTTTCTGACGACACAAATTATAAAATCAGCCCGTCTACATTTCTAAAGAAATATTCATTGGTTTTATTTTGTGAAACGTCGACAGAATATGGTGTCAGTTCTTAGACTAACTTGTATCGATAGGTAGTCGAATATATCATAGGTAAATATTCAATTTAAACATTCTCAAGACATATGCACACAAAAGCGTATCTCCCTACTGATCACCTGTAAGTTGTCAATGAGATTTTCTAGTAGCTTTGCTTATTCGTAAAAACACGGATTGCTTAAGATAAGCATGGGAAGAGAGTAAATCAATTAAGATCATCTGCGAAAGACTAGCGGCAATTTGAATACCAAGCATCAATAGGCCTACATGCACCGTGAATAAGAAAAGGGGCTATTCTTACGTCACGTTTCCGGAAGAACAAAAGTTAAGGCAAATTAATTATATAGGCAAATGAATTATCAGATACAAAATAAAACGCTGGTCGGTAGAAGTGCGGGCATAATAGGCCTAGTGGGACAGATGTCGATCAAAATTAACGACCGTGCCCAAAGCTCGTCGCACAAGAGCTACATGCTGAGCAAAATCGCTTATCATGTGGACCCCCTGCATTAAAATACCCATGGACACCAGTGCTGAATGCTCATACTTCATTTTTTTTAATACTCAGAACTCTCACAGTTATTTAAGCTGCACAGAAAAACGATGATCAACTTGTCGGCGTACGTGCGAATCATAAGGCGTACGTACGAGTTATAAGGCGTACGTACGAGTTAAAGGCGTTAGTACGAGTTATAAGGAGTACGTAAGAGTCATAAGACGTACGTACGAGTTATAAGGCGTACGTACGAGTTATGATTCACAAGTCGTACGTATACGACATATATGTCGTACGAACGGGTTATAAGTCGTACGTACGAGTTAACTGAAGGGAGAGAGGGTTTTTTCTCACCGTGTCCCTAACACAGCTTCGTCGAAAAGAATCAAACGTACAGGGGAGGTTTTAGCCTCATGGCCTCGCAAGACAGAACGGCCTCGAATGACTTTTTGCTCAGCACGTACCGGTAATTAGTATAATACGCATACAGTATCACGTAACCTCATGAACATTATGGTGGGCACAAACGAAAAAAAATATGAATTTTGTTCAAAGTGGCTTAGAGGTTACTTTAGGTAAAACTGGGGCAGGTGCCCCCCCCCCCCCTCCGCCCCCGGTACCGGTTACGTAACCTCATGTACATTATGGTGGGCACGAACGAAGAAGTATATGAATATTGTTCAAGTGGCTTAAAGGGTCACTTTGGGTAAAACTGGGGCAAGTTCCCCCCCCCCCCCCGCCCCCGGTTCCGACACCCCTTCATGCGTCTTACATAATGTAGTGAGCAATCCCCACATGGGTTATGTAATAAACCAGCCATGCATGGCCGTTGATTGGCCTTCAGGCGACCAAGCCACGAGTCAGTCGTGATCCTGAATCCAACCTGTGTACGTGTGTCTCCTCTCATTGAGTGTGTTCCACCCCTATTGGGTACATCAGCTGCGCGACTCAACCCCTCCAGCCGAGGACGTCTTGGTAAATTATGTCCAGATACAACAATACGAAAATCTTAAACTTCATGCAAACAAGAAGACTATGTCTTTATTTCATAACACATTAATTTGTAATGTTCATAAATTAAATCTGATTCTGATTCTGATTCTGATAAAATAATGATTCTGATAAAATAAAATACTTCCCCTTGAATGTCTTTATTTCATAACACATTAATTTGTAATGTTCATAAATTAAATCTGATTCTGATAAAATAAAATACTTCCCCGTGTGTGATACAGATTCGTAGTCTCCCTCGCTCCACTAATTTACCAGCACAAGATAATGCAGCAAAAAAATGCAAATTTCGATTTTATGAAGCTCGTACATTTCTAGTCATGGCTTTGAAAGTTTTTGATCAATTTAGTTTTTCAACAGGCAATAAATCAACAGCATGACAAAACACATAAAAAAATATATTCTCACATAAATATTTGTTTAGAAATGGCCGCTGATTTATACGGGCGCGTTTTTACTGGGACACACTGCATGAAAGGTTTTGAATGCGCGCTGCCTATTTATATCAGGCAAAACAGGTGCGCGCGCAGAACCGCAACACTGCAAAACCTGTGTAAAGCAATAAGCCATTTGCGTGTAACCTATACCCTTTGGGATTTACATTTGAAAAACGTCTGGTACAATGACTTGCTCAG